CCTGGAAGTACTCTCTTCTTGCAGCGTACATGCTGTTCCTCATCATTTCTTCCTTCCCCATTAACTTTCTCACCCTCTACGTCACTGTCAAGCACAAAAAGCTGAGGACCCCGCTGAACTACGTTCTGCTCAACCTGGCGGTGGCCGACCTCTTTATGGTAGTTGGGGGCTTCACGGTCACGCTCTACACGGCCCTGCATGGATATTTCGTCTTAGGTGTCAGCGGCTGCAATATTGAAGGATTCTTTGCCACATTAGGAGGTAAGAGTCAGAATTGTGTAAACTGTGTTTTCTGTGTGGATTTAGAACAAAACAAGTCACACTTTAAATTTGCTATAGTTTTTGGGTCACTCTCATAGGTTTGAATGTATTAAGTCGTTCATTTTTATAGGAAATTAGTTTGTCTAATTACTTAAACTTGAATCTAATATACTGCTTTTATTATTTCATGTTTAATGTCAGTAGAGATACTGTACTTAAACTTACATACATGCTTTCTTTCATGTTTTAGGAGAGATTGCTCTCTGGTCTCTGGTGGTTTTGGCTATTGAGCGCTATATTGTGGTCTGTAAGCCGATGACCAACTTCCGCTTTGGAGAAAAACATGCCGTGGCTGGCCTGGGTTTCACATGGGTCATGGCCCTGACCTGTGCTGCTCCCCCTCTCTTTGGATGGTCCCGGTACAGTTAGTTTCTGTGTCTACACTCTGTTTGATTAATATTCTGAGGACCATTTTCCCAGTAAAGCAGTTTTATAGTTATGTTTTTAAAACCTGCAAACTAGTGTAACTCACACATGTGGCACAAATACTGTGTAATGGTGCTGGCCGAAGTCTTTGAGTTATTGTGTGTTGTGCAGGTATATCCCAGAGGGAATGCAGTGTTCCTGTGGGATTGACTACTACACTCCCAAGCCTGAGATCAACAACACCTCGTTCGTCATCTATATGTTTGTCCTCCACTTCTGTATCCCCCTGTTCATCATCTTCTTCTGCTACACTAGCCTCCTCTGCACTGTGCGAGCGGTAGGAATGCCACTGCCAAAGCAATATTAATAGACTTGATATATTGTTTAGCCCTGTAGAAAAATTCCACTTTATTATGTTTTTTTGATTATTTTTTTTTCACCTTGCTCCCTTTCACAAGGGGTACTGCACATCACAGAGTCTCTGGAGATGTAAGGGATTTAGGGGCTCAAGGACACTTCAGGAGGGCAGATCCCTGCCAACATGGCAGCTTACACCCAGGTCCTCTGGCTAAAGGGCAGTCTGCCTGCTCACTGTGTCGTCCTGATGCCTTTATTAATAATAGAATAAGAGCATTTATAATGTATAAGTGATTATACACAATTATAATGCAGATTTTCATTTAAATTGGCTATAATCAGCATTCTTTAGTACATCTGTCAAATGGTAGTTTAAACATGTGGAAACAGATTAAAATAGGTTGCTTATAACCTACAGAGAATTTTTGTTATCTGAATCTGCAGCTCCTCCCAGCTTTGGGGAGATTTAGAGGGAGTTTCAGGGAGACTGTTTTTGGCTGCGTGACCCAGCTTTAATGATCTGGTACACTTACTGCTCTCATAGCTTCTCGTGTGTGTTTTTTGACAAGGATACACCAACTGCAAAACACTAGGCCAATGTTTAATATAATGCTTTGGCTGACATCTTATACCAAGTCTAGATTATGATAATTTATTACACTGATTGGCCTACTGCAGTCAACACAATGTCAACTTTGTGTCAATATATCAACGTTTTTAGCAAAAGACCCAAAACCCAGCATCACCTCCCACACACTACAAATACACTTTATTTGTTATTAGCTGCTAAACAAAAAGGAGAACCAAGCATCTAAAGGGGAAGATATGTATAGTTAGTGTAGTGAGAGACAGTCTCTCCTAAAATCTAATCATTCAACATTCGTGTGAAATATGAGCATCTTTACATATGTTAAATTACATTAGCCTGATGTGAGCCTGAGGTAAGTTTTCATGCCTAAAATAAGTCACTGTTTGTATTTTTGAAACTATCTTACAGCAGACAAAGTTAAAGATAAATTTAAAACCATTACGATTTCTCTATTGAAACCTACAGCTTAAGCATGTGCTGCTTGTAGCTAGTTCAGACCAAGAACAGACCTAACAGTACAAAAACAATAAATAAAATGCATTACAATGCTAATGCCTAGCTAACTCTTAACCTCCACACTAGCTATGCCAAAAAGTCTTGTTCTGAATAACGTATTCAACCTTTGCTGCCCCCATGTGGACAAAGAAATTAGTGCACGTTCACAAGTGACAGGCATGAATTCTCATCTGTTTTTGGAGAGAGTACGTGTCTCATGTCAGTGAGAGATCGGTAGAGCTAAGACAAAACTTGAAGTTATTATCTCAAAATTTGAATATTTGAAATAATGCTGCAAAATTCTGACTGGCAGGAAAAAAGAAATTACTTCAGTGGTGGAAACGAGCTTCCATAGGATAATGCGTTTGTTTTTTCCACAACATAAAAAACATAACTAAATAAACAGTGTTAGTCATCTCGGTGGTCTAATCAGTTTTGTTCAGCAGTCGTGATGGGCTCAAGCCTTTTGTTTACATTCGGATTAGAGGTTTAAGTTAACCTGAATCTGTCTGTCAGGCTGCAGCTCAGCAGCAGGAGTCTGAAACCACCCAGAGGGCAGAGAAAGAAGTGACTCGCATGGTCATTGTCATGGTGATCTCCTTTTTGGTATGCTGGGTGCCCTATGCCAGCGTGGCTTGGTACATCTTTGCCAATCAGGGAACTGAGTTTGGGCCAGTATTCATGACTGCTCCCGCCTTCTTCGCCAAGAGTGCCGCTCTGTACAACCCAGTCATCTACATCCTGCTAAACAGACAGGTATGACGTACAAGAGTATTTTCACGAACGCATTTTCACTTTGACACAGTTTTTGCAGGAAATTGTGTGGGCTTCATGTGTCTGACAGCTGTGGTTACTTTTCAGAGAAGCGCTTTACATAGTAAATTTTAGCTTATATAGTAACAAATTTCCTGTTCCCAGCAGTTGGGGTTGTGTGTTTTTTTTCCAGATGTGTGTGATTCTACCAGATTTGCCCATTTTCAAATGATTTGGTTTAATTGTCTAGTAGTGTTTCCATTTCTTTATCCTTCATTTCATTGCTCACTTCAGGTTAACAAATCGTTAACTTGGAAACTACAGGGGTACACTAATGTAATCTCTACTTTGACTAGTAGACTAAATCTAAATTTAAGAACATTTCTCTAATTCACACGGGCGATCGTGGCTCAAGAGTTGGCAGTTCGTCTTGTAATCGGAAGGTTGCCGGTTCGAGCCCCGGCTCGGATAGTCTCGGTCGCTGTGTCCTTGGGCAAGACACTTCGCGCCCCAGGGCAGCTGTGGCTACAATGTAGCTTGCCATCACCAGTGTGTGAATATGGGTGGATGACTGAATGTGTAAAGCGCTTTGGGGTCCTTAGGGGCTATGTAAAGCGCAATACAAATACAGGCCATTTCAATAGTTAGTTCGTTTTTTCTAATTAACTATGTCCCAAACAAAAAAAAATAAAGTCAAATAAAAAAAAATTCAAATCAGCAGATAATGACCTGTAATTGTCTTTTCTTTCATTTTTAACCTTTATTTCATAATTTAAGCCATAAGTGCTGTGTTTATAGGTTTTTTTGATTTAAGCAGTTCTGTCATATAAAGGCTGAGATGTATTGTCGCCGTGTTGTTGCACAAATTGCACTTTTTTTTTCTTTTGAATCCTCAATGATTAAATTTGTAGTTACACTTAAATTTAAATTATTTACACTTAAACAGTTTGCAGGTGTCTTTTTATAGGCAATAGTTTTTCTGATCTGGCTCACTAAAAATCAAATTGAGCTGTATGTGGCCTCGCGACGTAAAATGAGTTTGACAACCCGTGAAGGCGTCATAACTCTGATTGTGATTTGTTTTTGTGACCTCCAGTTCAGAAACTGCATGATCACCACGGTGTGCTGTGGAAAGAACCCATTTGGAGAAGATGAGGCCGCCGTCTCCAAAACTCAGACTTCATCCGTCTCTTCCAGCCAGGTGGCCCCCGCTTGACCTGTGCTCCCTTTCTCACCCTCTTCTGTCCCATCTGTGCCTGCCTCAGATGGGGACCCACCACCGCCAAGCAGCACTACCTTCAATCAGCCAATCCTCTTGACTTACCTCTCCTTTTGTCTTCTCTGCAGTGTCGCCACTGCACCTTCAAGTGGGACTGACACATTTAAAAACCAGCATGTGTGTTTTTAATCCATTTAATTATGGAGGGTTCAGCTGGTCTCACAGATTTTAACCTGGCATCCAAAGGGGTGACCACTTGGTGGTCATCCAACTGAGCACCATATGAGCTCTCTACTTTCCAAAAACACACAAACTGGGTAAAAATCCAACTGTAAGTAATTATCACAGCTAATTATGTATCCAAAAACGTGCTTTAAACAGTCAATTATATGAGTGGAATTACTCTGTTTAGATAATCAGATGAGTTTTTAAGCTCTACTCTTGTCTCTCTAACTCTATTCTAGTTGCCGTGTCGATCAAGCTGAGAAGGTTAGCTTCTTGGTATTGTCTGAGATGATTAGTGTAAAGAAATATGGACCTCCTGCAAGAGTCTGTACATGTGTGAGTTGGATGTTTATGTATGCGAATGTCAGAATGCTAGTGTGTGAATTAAGGTGAAACAGGAATATTACTGTAATGGCTCGGATTTGTGGCAGTTGTTCTGTGTCCTGCAATAAAAACAAAGCTAAATGTCTGCACGATCCCCCCTGCCCCTTACTCGTTTTCTTCATGAGAACATTTACAAGGATTTCTGAGAAGTTCCAGATGCTAGCTTGTGGGCTTTTAGGTGGCAGGCCAAATCATAATGGTTTTCAAATGTTAAAATTCACTGTGGCGCTGTAATGCATTTAGAAGTGAACCACTCTGAGAATTAGTATAATAAATGCCATTACTAGACACTTTAAAATCCTAAATACTGTAATTTATTTCACAAACTCTGACAAGTCATTTGGCATCACAAATACAGTCTCTCCTCTGATTATATTGAGCTCACTTTTTTTTTTCTTAAATGTAAATTTCCCTCTTTTAAATTTGATCAGAATCCAACATGATTACCATTCATTGACAAGCACACAGATCAACACTTATATACTGATGCAGCTCTTCCCAGTGAACTACATTACATTTGATTTCATAAATTTCAGTCATTTATATTCGTCGCCCCACTCCTCCGCAACCCGTCATCAACCTGCGAAGCACATTGGGACATATTGTTGAAAGCACCAATGAAAGTCCAACGCCCATCTTCACCAATCACACCTGAGAACGTTGCAGGCTTTAGGAGATGAGAGGAGTTTATCATGGTCCTACTAATCCTGATGAACAGGCCACTTGAAAGCATTATAACACATCTATAAATATTGCTATGGACATTATATTACAGTACAGTGCATCATTGGCTTGTTCCCTTCAGAAAAGGGTTCAGTGCGTTAAGGTTGCCACCAGGGCGAACTGTAGGTCCCAGTAACTGTAAAGACATCCCAAAACCCCCATCTCTGAGCTCCCACACATTCCCTCTAAAGCTTAGTAGAGTCCAGTCGGAACTGCGTCTGTTTCATGGATTAATATTTGGGAAAATTTCTTGGCATCCCCACAAGAAAGGAGGGATACTTTGCAAATGTATGATGCTTAACAGGCAGGTTTGAATCCTTTGCTCTGTCGCTTTCCATCCTGGTAACAGTTTGCTTGAAGAATAATAACACTTAAGACGGATAACTCCTGTGACCGACATTCCCAAGTAACCACGTAAGTGGGAGAAAGGCAGTTGGCAGCAGGAGGAAGAGATTGTGAGCAGAAGATATTGGCAGGTTCAGGCTTCACTGCAGCACTCATAGATGTTGTCCTCCACAAGGGCAATGACCTGCTCAAACTTGTGGTGCAGCTGAGTGCGACGTGCAGTGGGGTTCGACTCCAGAGCGTTCACCACCTGACCGAGGGAGATAGAAAAGAAACACACAACAAAGGAGACTTTCAGTGGCTGTCGAGCATTCATGCATCTATCTTTCTGGAGAGATTTAGAGAACCAGCCAGACATAGAAAGTCGAACAAGTGAAAGGGAGAGGCAGCAGAGGAACAAGTGAAGTACTTCAGCCTCTTCTGCTGCCTTCATGTATGCCTCCACACCACAAAAGCATTCGCTCTTCACATATTTACAAAACCCACATCTGCTCTGTTTTTCATGCCCAATAGTTGTCACCGTGTCAGTGGGATTTATGGGCTCTTAGCGGCAGTGTGCTACCAGGCAGAGCGAACTGAGCTGGGGCGACAGAATAGGCAATCAGGGGCCATTCAAAGAGCTCCCTGAATCAGAGTCTAAGCCCATGGCCCACGTCAGTACAGTAGCTTGACAGAGGAAAGCAGCTAAACGGTATTATCATGAGGGTGCTCCATTAAAGCACAGTCACCACTGACTAAGCCTCTCTAGAGAATAGTCACAGCAGCGAGGAAACATGGGGGAGTACAGCAGGGGCTTGAACAGGGCTAGTTCAACGCGACGCATGAGATACGAAGCGGCACCTTAACAGTCATTAAGCAGATGGGGTTGTGATTAAAGAGAAGGTAAACAGCACGCTGTTTGCCTAAAGTGAAAGGTATCTGTGGGCTGGAAACAAAGGATTGGACAGACTGAATAGCGGCTGCTGCTAAGAAGATATTCCACACGGAGTATTTTCCCCGCTTAAAACATAACACCAGGAAAAAAACAACAAAATACTGCAGGTTTTCAACTAAGGCATTACGCGACAGGTTGTGAAGGTGTCTACAGTATGTGACATCTGTCAGCGTGGCTGCGATCTTCCCTACTGATGCGTCACGCTCCGATATCCATCTGTGAAACTTAATACAGCAAGTGGGCTCAACTGAGATGTTTCATCTGCCAAATAGGGGCTGTTGTTTCAACAATAAAACATCTAATCCAAATATGAGATCACAAACACAGAAAAAGCACTGTGAATATCTCTTACCTGGTTTCTGTATCTCTTGGCATATTTGTAGATTTCTGTCAAGGCCAGGTTGGTGTTGAATTCATTTCTGTATTTCTGCCGGAGCGATATCAACATGTTTGATTACATTTAAAAAAAAATAAGAACGGGCCTGTGATTGCAGGCTTTTGTGAAACTAACTGACTCACACACAGAAACTTTTGGAATCTTTCACTTACTCGTGACTCCTCAGCCAGGTGAGCATTCATCTCCTGCTCGCTGAGGGGTGGCATGTCTTGTATCTGCTGGTAATAGCATTGCACTCTCTTCTTATACTCTGGGATCTCCTTGGCATACAGCAGCTTGTTGGTAGGCGAGTCCTGGAAACAAATGGCAGCTTTTAGCCAGAGTACTCAGACATTAAGAACACCTTGCAAATCCAGAGTTGTGAAATAAAAATGGAACAGCTTTGACCTTAAGGCTATGTGGCCATTTTAGCCTGCTTTAGATTTCCAGACTACTACATTTGTCTTTCTTAGTCTCACTACGTTTACTCAAAGTTATGGTTACTATATACTATGAAATCTGTATCATTATACATTTCACCTTTCAACTGTGCTGCTCTCATGCTAATCTAGCAGTAATAAAGCTTTGACAAGAGCCGAACAAAGACAATGTGCTCACTCACAGTCTGCCCTTATTATTTTATGGGTAAACGCCTGCTATTTCCTGCTGATCCATTTTTTCGAGTCTGCTTTCCCCTGCTGTCAAATTCCCTACATTTAAGTTGTGATATTGCAATTCTTGGCCAATGAGGTTTCTGCTCAAGCCCGTCATTTTCTGGCTGCTCGGCTTTAAATACCATTTCAATCCAGTGTTTCTGACTTTTCGTACCTCCTGCTGTGCAACCCACCTCCCCCTCATCCATGGAGACAGAAGTGAAACTTTATATCAACCACCCGCTGGGCCCTACTGCATCACCGTCAGCATCTGAACTCTGGGATCTTGATGTGGGCCTACGCATAATTACGATGCTTCTCATTGATGAATGAGTCACAAAAAATGTAACCTCTGTTAAAACCTGATTAAAATTTTTTTTATATGCTTCAGTGTTTATTTGCAATAAAACACTCTAAGAAGGACACTTCGTCCAGTCAGTGCTTATGGGCAGGCCAAGGATTGTCTCACATCATGCCCCTCACTCCATTCCCCTACATTTGAGTAAAAGAGCTTCCTCCTCTTGGAATAAAGTGAACACTTCTCCCACTTTGCCCTAATGGCGGTTTAATTAAACTGGATGTTATTTGTTGATGAGCCTATCTACACCAGTCTAAAGTGAAACAATGGAGGGAGGGAACCGTTTCCTTTGCGCACAGAAGGAGACTCAAACAGTTATAGCCAGGGAAGAAACAAACCAGTCTAAACAACTCTCTCCACAGTCACTTTAGGCTCTCACACAGGAAGAGAAGTAGTGAGGCTAAAAGGCTGTGGGCATGTTCAGGTTTCAGTTGTGGCTGTTGTTGTGAGCGAGTCTGTGTTGCGTGTGTGTTACTGTGAGAGAGAGAACGGGACAGGGAGAAAGTAGGGCAGGGAAAAAGACGGGGTTAAAAGTGACGGACAGCCACAGCTTTCAGCATCAGTGAAGGTGCTTACAACACACCTTGGCATTTCTATGTGTCATGAGCTATTTGTGTCACCTATTGCATGTTTGTGTGGTTTAATGTGCTGAGGGACTGGATGGCTCCGGCTACAGTTGCTCCTTCTGATAGTGAACCCTCTCTCTTCCTGTCCACAAGGTCACTTCCTGCTGCTCGCCCATCTGCCTGGTAACCCCCTGTGACCCTATGGCCCTCTATGTCCTGCATCTCGCCAGATAAGAGGGTTTCTGTGGAAACAGCGAGCCATGCTTAGTCTCCTACCCCTCCCTCACCCCTGCTGGCTCCTGCTAATCCAGACCCTACACTCTCTATTCCTGAGGCACATTCACAAACAGGCGACCGTGCATAGAGGTGTGTCAGGCCACCGTCCTTAACCTACAGGAGAAAATGTGGCCATATCCTTGAACCTGGCGATTCCACAGACAGATGTGACACAATAATGAGACACCATGGAAAAATCTGTCATATCGGGAGGTTTTGTGTTCGTTTCGACATCTATAGGTACACATCTGCCCGCAAGTACATGTGAATATTGGCGCTGTGGATGCGCTCGCTTTTTGGCTTGGACCTGAAGTGTATAAATCAGACTGTTTCTCTGTGAAAGAGGAGCATTATTTGATGAGTCCTCGGCTCCCTCCAGGGAGGAAGCCAGTCAGAGAGAGACAGGAAGCAGAGCGTGCTCAGGGTCACGGTGTCTGAAGGATGAGACGGATTTGTGAGCAGTGAGGACATTGACATGCAAGCACACATATACAGACAGACAGATAGACGAATACACACACACGCGCGCGCACACATTGGCGCACAGCACAAAAAGAGATCCCTGGTGCTCATGACCTTGGATCAGCCGACTGGGCTGAAATAACATGAGGAAAGGAGGTAGATGGGGCTGACAGTCTGAAGGCTTTGGGATGAAGGTTCACAGTGGGACCTGAGGTTTGTGTGTGTTAGTTAAATACAGTAGATACATAGAGCTGATGGACAGATAAATACAGTATGATAAATCAGAGGTTTTCAAGGAAGGCAGAGGAAGCCCAGGGGGGATCTATTTCCATATATGAATTTAAACACACACAGAGAACATCACAAATAATGTCACTAAATATACTTAGATAGAAGACTTTTATCACTTTCTCTGAGAATTGTGTTTTGTAGGGATTTTTTTTTCCAGCTTTAAACTTTTCCACTGGTATTCATATGGGTTTGTATGCTGGAAACAGGAACTGCAAAAAGCAGCTTTGAAAACAAGAAAGAGACGTTGACAGAGAGAGATGGTGACAGACTCACTTTGCCTAGTTGCAGGTCAGAAATGGAGCAGGCATCGATGAAGGCCTGGGCGATGACAGATAGACATGCGTCCATGTGATCTGTCTTATCAATGTCAAACACAAACTGAGGATTCTTCAGGATGTTTACCCAGAACCGCAGCGGTAAACTGCACAGACAGAGAGCGAGATAAGCTGTTAAAAGCACTTGCACAAAGAGGCTGACCAAAGAGGATTTTAATCGGACCGTTTAGTTGCCTACCTGTTGGTCTTCCAAATGTGCAGGGTGTCTGGGTCTGTGATGCCCCGTTTGTCAGCCTGTTCCTCCAGGAAGTCAAAAAAGTATTTAACAGCCAGAGGAGGGCGGTCTGGAGGGATGCTGAGGATGGCCTGAAAGAGGTCATCCAAGAACTTCTGAAGAGTTCCCTGTGGAGGAAGAGATAAAATGCGGCTCACACATATGCAGACACATGGTTTCATGCGACGAAGGAATTTCTGTGTGGCTTCTGAAATAAATACAGGTAATAAAATATGGAACAGAGAGATGACTTGTGTTTTGTTTTGGCTTTTGGTCTCTTGACTATAGTTACCTTTGTAGACAGCAGGCGTGTCAGGTAGATTTCAGGCAGGACTTTCTTGCGATGACTCTGCCTGTGTGACCTCTTGTTCTCCATTAGCTCATCGTGAGGTAGCACCTATGAAAAAAAAACCAGTAAAAAAAAACATTAACTGCACATAGATCAAAGCAGTGAACCCCAACATGAGTAGCTGAATGAATGCACCACTGTCTTTGCTGTACAAAATGCCAGAGGGGAATTTTCTGGTTCTTGCATTAGACACATGATCCGCATAAGGGTATTTTGAAGCTCTAAATAATTTACAGAAATAGGGAAGTGATGGGATTTGGGAAATTCTCATGGTTTTCCTCCAGTTGCCGTGCACAGCATCATGTCTGGGACTTGCTCATACAAGTCTACATGGGGGTAGCGGAAAGAAAGAAGCAGTCAAATTCCACCTACTTGTGTCAAAAAATGACTACTGAACTGTCCTGCAAAACTAACTATTCACCCGGCAAATTGTATCCAAGGAACTCATTATTCTAAAGTCAAAGGGCCCATATCTTGGCTGACGTTTATAAAAGAGCTTAAGCGGCATTAGTGCTGTCATGTCCTCTCAGCAGCTTTCCTTTTCACCTCTATTCACCCCCATTCTCTCTGTCATCAGGCCTGCTCTGGGCTGAGTAACACTGGCACGCAGAGGAAAAGCTCGGGTAATAAACTTAGACATAGCTCACAGAAACATTCTGATTGCCTATGAGGAGATACTCACCAAGTGTACATACTTCTCAGTATCCAGATCTTTAACTGAGGAGAGAGAAACAGAAAATAAATAACATACAGTAAGAAACAATGTGCAATCAGCAAGGTGGAGACCTGACAGAATAAAGAGGATACGGTAACACAGGGGAGTTTGACAGATAGGAGGAAGAAAAAAAAAAACCCGGGAAGATTGACAGGGCTGCAAGAGAGATAGAGTGCATGCAAAAGGAGAAAGTGATTAAGGTGGACTGTGGGCCAGTCGAGGACGGGAGCTGTCTGAGAGAATGAAAGAGAAAGATTACGAGTGAAAGGAGAGAGAAAGGAGAGAGATTAGGGGAGACAGACACACAGAGTCTGTGATTGGTTCTGGAGCCGGTGTAATGAGATGGTAATGCTCGGCCAACGCTGAGAAAAAAGCATTAAACCTTTCTGTTTATATATAGATCTAAACACGCTCGTACACAAGCATGTGTACACAGATATGAGTACAAGGACACATGTAGAAGAGTGTTCAAACACGAGTACAGGCACAAAGACAAATGCAGTAAATTACTGTACACACCCCGGCAAAGACAAAAGAGAGGCATTTGTGCGGATACACACACAAACACCCTCATAGTAAGTGTGGTCTCATTACAGACTTCATAGCTAGAGATGCTCCTGCCCAGCGGGCCTCAGTCCAGACCCTCAACACTGATCACAGGCAGGCAGGACAGTGTTTTCTATTAGCCAGGGAGCACTACACGCTCATAACACCCCATTGATGCTTTGAAGCGGGAGCCAGGTTTGGTCCACATAAGCCTATTTTTGGCCCATTATGAATGAGAACAGAGGCTTTGATGGACACAGCCTGAGCAGAACTAAGCTCTGGTCTGGTACTGATTATGTAAGGTAGACCTTAGACAATGAAAGGACAAGCCATTAAAGGCTGTATGTAAACTCATCTGTCAACAGCCATAGCAGTCATTTTGTTCTGGGCTGAGATTGGACAATGGGCAAACTTGTGTCACATTTTCCCCCCAAGGTGACTCACGCTAATGGAATACATCTATAATGTGGAAAAAGTGGCTCTGAATGAAGTTGTAGAATTAGTACGTGTTATGATTTATTAGGTGCAAGTGTGTTTAGATGTGTGCTTTTGGGGACACGAAGGTGTGGGGTTTCACGCGTGTTTACATTAGTGTGTCATGTTCTCGTGATCAGCTACTGTAAGCATGTTCTCTGATGGAGTGGGTGGTTGTATTTATGCAAGTGTGGGCGAGTGTGTGACAAAGAGACAGCGAGTGGGTTTGTTTGAAGGTGGCGTACCTCTCCCCAGGGTGTTCTCTTTCTTGTCTTGCATGCTCATGGCCAGCGATGCCCCCTCTGGGATCTGTGAAGAGGGAGAAGGTGAAAAGAAGGAGGGAGGGAGGAAAGTAGAGGAGAAAGGGCACGGGGTCAGGGGTGAGCGGGGGTGCACCAGAACAGCGTCATTAAGCACGCCCTCGAGGGAGTGTCCCGCTGAGGGCTTTGCATGTGCGTGTGTGTTGGTCTCGCGTGCATCTCGAGAGGTGGCGAGTTTGCGGGAGCCTGGCAGGGCTCATTAAAGTCAGCCCACGGTGAAATGGATTGAACAGCCTCGCCGATGAACCCAGACTGTTAGTACATGCTGAAGCTCACTGCTTTCACAGCTCTGTCCCCATGGCTCAGCTAAGACTAAACAGAGCACTTAACAAGTACAGGTAACAGGTCAAAGGGCGAGAGTCACCGAACTTTTGTTTACTTATGCACAAATGGACATGGACATAAGCAAACATACACACGGCAAGACATTGTTAATGGGAGAAAAGTGCATGACATTTTACTTTTTTCTTATTTTTTATTTTTTTATAAAGGCAGTTTGAAGCTGTAAGTAGCATTGCTGACAGGATGCAAGATTCTTCCCTTTAGCACTTATTAAATTCTTATATGAAAAGCAACGATTGGCTAATTCTCTGCAAACACTGTAATTAAAAATGTTTGTGTCCTTTAATAAATGAAAATGAAATAAGTACATTTTAATAATGCTGTACAAAACAAGCTTCTATTTAATTTCCTGTCCTGTATACAGTTTCTCCTAAATGAGAAACTGTATACATATTAGTGTATTAGTACACAGTATACATTATCAGTTACTCACGCAATGCCTGTCATTACTTTTACTGGTTTATTTAACAAGGACATTAATAATGCACATGAATAAACACTGGTGCAAATGTGAGCAAAGAGACTTTTTTTGTGTGTCTGAGATGTTTTCGATAACAGTTTACTAACTTTTGAAAAAAAATAATTTGCAATTTAAAAAGTGGCACACAACTTTTTCAATAACTTTCACAGCAATCATTTACATAGCACTCTGCCAGGCGTCAAATCCAGATAATAGATTCAAACTTTTGTTAGCAGTGAATTACTACAACATAAGCCATTTAAGTCCCCATTAAATCAAACATGTGCTTTATTATTGTTATTTCAGTTTGAATGGTTGACCTCCAGTTTAAAATGATTTATGCAGCAGGTCTTTTCACCTTTATCTGTGGAAGAAGAAAAGTTTCTTAAATTGCAGTTTAACACTAGGGCAGGGGTGGGCAATTAGTTCTCCGAAGGGCCCACATGAGAAACTGGGACTGTTGTGGAGGGCTGCAACAGTAAGATGAACTCATTTCTGCTCATTATTAATTTTACTTTATATAAGCTTATTGGTTTGGCCCTCAACAACAACGAGTTTCTAATGTGGATCCTTGGGAAAATGAATTGTCCACGCCTGTGTAGGAAATAGGAGTTGGAAGAAACTCCAACCGATCTATCTTCTTCCACTTATCCAGCTGAAGGTTACGACAGGCTGGAGCCTTTCCCACCCTGGACAGGTCGCCAGTCTGTCACAGGGCCTACACATAGAGACAGGCAACCATTCACGCTACACCTACAACCAATTTAGAATGATCAATCACCAATTAACCTGACCTTACTAACTGCATGTCTTTGGACTGTGGGAGGAAGCCGGAGTACCTGGAGAGAGCCAACCGGGACTCAGGAGAACACGTTAACGCCACACAGATGGTGCATTCAAACCCACCACATCACCGTGCTGCCTTCAACTCCAATCCATTTACACTAAATTATGACTCTAGAGCTGAAACCAGCAACTCTTGTTTTTCAATTTAAAGTTTTAAATGATTTAAAACTAAAACAGCTTAAAAGCTTTTACTAAGCATTTACTAGATGGATGTGTCGAGGAAAAGGTTTTTAGGTAGGCCTGCTCCATTAGAGTATTATGCCAAGTTATTGTAGTTTTGTATTTTTTGAGTTTATGTATTTAACTCAGTTTAGTTTGTAGAGTTGATTTTCTTGTTTCAGTTTTATATTTGTTTGAAAATGCTTCACTTAAGTTTTTATTAGTTTGAGTGTTAATTGTAGTCTTTTTAAATTATTATTGAATGAAGGACACACATCAGAGGCATAATTAGGAAAATCAGTACAGACATTATGATAAAAACAGAAAAAAACTCCTTTAAAGCAGTTAACTCGTTGTCTTGTAGACACCCAGAATTTCTATAAGCACATCAATCAAAGCCTCATCCGGCAAATTGTAAAAACTTTTGACAAAACTAACAAATACTAAAACTATTTCTTCTATAATTTTTTATATTTCAACTTAGTTAAAGCTAAAGTTCACAAAACAGTTTCAGCTAGTTTGATATTTTTTTCAAATGTCTAGTTTTTATGAAAATTTTACTTCACGTTTATTTTCAGCTTTTAGTTTAGTTTCGGTTAACTTCAATAAGGTTGATCCTATGTTGAAATCGCAAAGAGGAGAGCATGGGAGGTTACTGTATTTGTTAGATCTGTGTGTGAAATCAACACGAGCCAGCGTTTAAACCCACTTAATGCAGTGACTCACGAGGACTCCATAATTCAAACAATTAGAGCGCAGCAGCATCAGGCTTCGCTGAATGACATTTAAGTTTGAACTTTCAGAGGAACCTAAAACACTTGTCTCTTCTGACGTGGTTAAATAATAAAAACACTTTTAAGCATAACCCGGCCCTCGAAATGTTGTAAAAATCACGCACTGTTAGTTAACAACTTCTAATTTGAAATAAATTATACTGTTACAGATATCGTATACTGAATTGAGCCATCAACGGTGTGCTAATGCCGCAGTAAACGATTTGTGCAGTCACAAACAGAAACATGGTGCAGCAGCGAACTCCAGCACAAACAGAAACACCTACAAAAAACGAGAAAAAAAACCCGCCACAGAAACATCTCCCCACCCGGTGACAGCCAGTGACACCTTTTACACGGGATGCTTTTCAGTATGCTGATTTGTCTCCCAGTTAGGATGACGGAGAGAGAGATGCAAGGTAAGACGGAGCCGATCCTGCCAAATGATAAATCCTTGATTCTGCAGCATCAGTCTAACAGACATCAATTCGGGCACCAGATGTGGAGGTGTGGCAATACTTGTCATACTTCCAGAAGCCTACTCTTTCCTTGAAGTGCATTTAAGAGATATATGATGGAGGAGGAATGATTTCCGGGTCAAGGGAAGGACCGAGGACGCAAGAAAGCACAGGCAGGCATAATGAAAAGCACCGCATGCTCCAGTTCACACTCTCAGCATCCCTGCTGTTGATGTTGCAACATGCAGGATATACAAATTCACCAAGGCAACACCCACCACAATGGTCTCTCACAAGCACACACCTGGTAATGGAAGACTGTGTTGAGTTTCTTTCGGCCGTCCTCCATCACTGAGGAGTTGTCTAGATCCTGCAAAAGCTTACTGTTGCTGCCTGAGTCAAACCACTCTGGAGGAAAGAAAAAAGGAGAGACAGCAGCAGCGTTAGACAATTTCCTTCTAAATTTGGAAAAGAATATGCAAGACGGACCGCAGCCGTGCTCTAACTCTCTGTGTCACGACCTGTGGAAATATTCTCGGGCCATTAATCAAATCAGCACTGCAGGGTCCACAGCTTTTGAAAGCAATAACTCTTTGTGATTATGACTGTACACTCTCCTCAATGCATTCTGTCATTTATTACATTGCAGCCTCAGGTTAGTTGAGCTTCATGAGAGGAATTGACCTTTTGCAAAGGAGATTACTATATCTTGGAGGGCTGGGTAGGGGAGAGGATGAAAATAATCAGAGAAAATGTGCTCTTACCCAGGTCGACATCCTCGGCCCGAGGCCACTGGGAGAATGGGAGGTTTTTATAAAAGGCTTCAATGATTTTTTCCTTAACTTGGCAGATCGTGTCTGTGTTCATGACCCTGACAGATAGGGAGTCCATGCCACAGCCCTGGAAGGACACGTTGATGTTCTGCAAAAAAACAAAAACAAAAGCATGGGACAATTTGTAAAAATATGAGTTTGGATCGTCAGCATGACATTGTCAGCATGGCCTAATTAAATGAGATGTCAGACCTGTGGCTTGGCCTCAATATTCTCACGTAGCAGCCACTCCTCATTGAGGGTGTAGCGGGCTTTTCCTGTGATGGCGTCTATTGAGCCCTTGTTGATCTGCTGCTTGATTGCACACAGCAGCAGGAAAAAAGGCTCACCCACTGTTTCCTAAAGAATTTGCGAAAATCAAAGCTGCGGTAATTCCTTTTAATCAAACTTGTGTGAGTCATTAATTACTCTGCTGAGCATGCTTCTTTCCCATCCTCACCTTGAGGTAGCTATACATGCAGATGGACATCCAGTTGGTTAGCATTTTCTCCACTACGGACTCAGTCCGGCGAAGCATTAGTTTGGGGTTTTTGGAAGCCGACGCATCAATCAGGTCCACCAGCAGATCTTTCATGATACTGGTGTAGTACTCCAGCTTGCCATGGAGGGCGATGGTGAGCAAGGACGCCAGACTGCATCTGAAGGGTGAGAAAACAGATTAGCGGCTGAGACAGATGAGCAAAAACAGACTCTGGCAAACATGCCCTGTCAGTGTGCGGTCAGTGGAGATTTAAAAATAGCTACATTAAAAGAAGAACAACAATATTTGGTCCTCCCTTCAGCACCTGTGACAGCAGAGCCAAATAAAGGTTTGATCTAATGCAGGGAGTGTCTGAGTCAGTACCAGGGGTGCAGGGGATTTCCCTAACAAAGCCCCTCTAATCCATCACAAAGAGGCTACATCACTCAGTAAGTGCTGATGTTGTGCTGGGAAAAGGATGTGGTCTTGCCGCTGGAATTTCTCTCTGATTCACAATGACAGCCCAGTTTTAGGACATCAGGAAAAAACAAAACAAGTAACACTGATATATGTCCGTATATTTACAAAGCTGGAGCAAAAGGTTTTCCACAAGCTATATGCAACAGATAGAGAGAAAAACCTACAGCCTTAACCATGGTCTTGTGTCCTGTGAAAAACTCACTATACATTTGTTTTTAGACCACAGCTTCAGTTTTAATGTTAAGACTGATTTTACACTGAATGTTAAATTGGTAAGTCAGAACTTATTTAATAAGTTAAGAAAACGGATGGATGGAAAAAAGGAAGGACTGATAAACTTTGATCTATTAAATGGATTAAACTTTAATATAAGCTCATTGCAGGCACAACACCAGCGTAATGAAGCCAATACAAAGTGCCAAAAACTAGAGTTCAATGGCCACTTAAGGCTGGCTGCAGAAATGAGTCAATCTCAATACAGTACTATTTTAAAATGCCCATGTTTACACAAGAAAGAAGAGCATATGTAAAGTCTGGCACAAAAAACATTTTGGTCTTAGTATGTAATTATTAGGCTGTTATAACTTAAGCATCATTAGAGACTGTTATTTTCTGGTATCTACTATCTACTATTTGTGGTGTTGTCCCTTTTAGGAGGCATAACGTGGAATACTACGTGGCTAAAAATGATGTGTCAGGATAAAAGTATTTAATTTTTATGCTACTTTCCACTTATTAAGTTGTATCTGTGTCTGTGCAGCGCACTCATACATGGAACCTGCTTATTAATCAGCCTTGTTCACCATTCTTCACTTCAGTTGTTTGCGGTGTGGTCTTTCACTTTATCTTATTCAGTATGGCTCTCTGAGAAAAAAATGTTTCCTACCCGTCTACTTGACAGCAGTTTTTCTGTGTGTAGTACAAATGAATGTAGCTGTAAGAGAAGCAGTTACCTGTCCCGCACAGCAAAGTCTTTCTGCTGCTCCAGGGCATGGACGAACGTGATCAGGAAGTGTTTGTTGTTGAGGAGAGTGGAGAACAGAGTGATGCCCTCTTCTATGTTAGGCCTTGTTGTGTTGGTGGCCTGATGACAGAGGGGAGATTAAACAGTTATGTCTCTACATGACTTCACCTTAACTGGATTACACACCTGCTGCGTCCCCCCTAATCTACTTCACCTCCTCTCATCTTGAGTGACCCATCCACCGAACACTTCATCTTTCTATCACATCTCCTCCCCGTGTACCTTCAGGCACCTCCCACTCTGGTTTCCTCCACACTATCTGCACGTCCTGCTCCAGTCTCTTACTGCGTGTGATAGTCTCTAAATGTGCCGAGTCGACTTAATGAGTATGGCCTATCTATGAGTGCGTCTAAAGCAGCCGTGTGATGAAGTCTTCCCTCTGGACTGCAGCCATATGGTGTGGTTTGCAGCCTGACAGAAGGAGAACAGGGGTGTCCATTAAGATAAATGCCCGCCTATGAGATTTATTTGCTGTGACCTGGAAAACACTTCCTGGGAAGACAATGTGGATCCAAGGCACTTCATCACTGTTAGACAGGCTCCCCCGGCTGCCGACCCAAAACTAGCACTGCAGTCTTTACTTTCTCTCGTTGTAATGTGCGCATGCATGTGCTTTCACTTTCACCACACATTCTCACAAAGGTGTGTGAAAATGCACGCCCCCCTCTTTTACTCTCTTTATAAGTCTTGCTCTCGTCCATCCTTACACACACACACACACCTACACACACACACCACCCACTAGAGATCTATTTCATTATAAAGCATACTGTGAATTTGTCCAAGTGCCTGTAGGAAGTGTGTCTACAGCCTGCTATCAACTTAGCGGGAAGCGCGTTCATTAACAAGCTAACATTTGTGTCCTTTGAAACACCTGAATGACATGCATACATAATGCAGGTTCACACAGACAGTACAGTGGCATAATCCAGACACAAACTTCGCAACCACAGGAAGGAAGGGAAAGAAAAATCACAATACGCACAACAACCTTACCACGAAACCTTAATAAGCTTCAGCGTGACCCAGTTGAAAAACAAGAAAGTGAAAAAGCACTTTGGCAGGAGAAAGCCTAACCTAACAACCTAATGGCTTAACCCCTCACCTGCCAATCCTGCAGCAGCGGGTGGGTCTCTGGTAAAGCTCGAGGCCCCAGAGCATCATTCTCGTAGACAGGTTGGACCAGACTTTTCTCGTAATCTGAGCACATCTGAAACACACAATCACACACAGAAAACTGTCATAAAAAGTCTGCTGTAGTCATAAACACCGGAAGATAAACAGGGGAAACAAAAAGAACTGGCTTTTATGTGCTGGCAGTAAGTTTTGAAATCTGGAGGCAAGGGACAGAAATTCTTGAAAAGGTCCCGAATGACCATGAAAAGGAAACATGACACCGTGACACAAAACGTCATGATCCTTAATGGCTTTGGAGACAAAGTGGTCGAGAGCTAAGAGGCAGCCTTTCAACACAGTCTGTCATTTCAGGACAGCCACGTCTGGCTGGCACTCTAACTGTGTCTAAGTCTGTGTCTAACACTGTTTCGTGTGTGTGTGCGTGTGTAATCTCAGACAACCAGAAGCTCTCATGGAAAAACAAGAGCACAAAGGCTCATTTGCTGTCTTAGCAGACAAATATGACAGAACCCAGACTATGATACATGGACCTAATCAAGCTAATGTCACAGACTGGTTTGCTGACCTCCACAGCGACAGCCCTGAGCTTCAGATTTTGGTTGTGGCCATCTCGTTTATTCAAAGCCGGATGTGACGCAAAGGGTTGAGTCTGACTGAGGATGCACACCCGTATGGTAGAAACTTGTATCTGCTTTTTTTTCCCTGAAATGTCACCATAATTTACGGAATTAACATTATGCTGAGTTGCCTTGAAACTAGCGACTGATTATAAATCAAGGGAGAAGTAGGTCATTAAAAAAACCTACTGCACAATCTGGCCTCTTTTTGCAACCATACATTTGCTGGTATATACAAAAAAATCCAGCTTTATGAGTCTTTGCATCGGCTTCACTTTTCAGACCTGGAGGCTATGGCCAGCTTTTTTATACAGTCTGTGGGAGAAACGATACTGCAGTAGCAACACTGGAATTTATGTTTCCCTCCATGTAGCTTTTCAACACTCTCCTCCTCTCTTTTCCTTCCCAATAAAAAAACAAAAACCAAAAAAAACAAAAAACACAAAACAGCGTCCACTGTCCACTGAAACCGACATGGCTGTCATTGCGCAAGATCATTTGTACTTGCAAAACAGCGTGGGTGTGTGAGTGGAGAAAAAAAGAAAACGATGTGTCTTTTGAGAGATCGGGGAGAAAGTTTCCATGTCACAGTGCCCGCCATTGTTCTGTCTCCTTGAAAGTCCATGCCTGTGGTTGGAAGACAAAGCCTGCTGAGCTGTGCCCGTCTGCACTGGTGGAAAAACACCCACCCACAGATAGACCCACTTCGGGGTGGATCGCACATCAGAAAAATGCTTACCTATAGAGAACATATTAACTGTCCTGCAGGGTGCCAGACTGAGCTACACCTCACTGGATTTCTGCTCTATGTTTAAAAGTTCCAAGGTGAATTTTTACCCTGCATATTACAAGCAGTGACAAATGGGAAATGGGACATGCAGGGCAGAAATATTAAAACCCCAGTGAGAAAAATGGTATTGTCAATGTGCCAGTCGAAATCAGATAACAGGGAATAAATAGGGTTTCTCACCTTGGGGAAGAAGGTGCGTGTGACAAACTGTTTGTACTCCAAAAAGGGGATGCCCTGGCTGCGATTCAGTTCCTTGGTCAGGTCTGTCATGTCGGTCTGGAGTTCTGCAAAGCCTGAAGGCGCAAAAAAGAAAAAAATCCCCCCAAAACAAAACAAATGAGATTGAATCATGGGTTCTGTTTGTACACCGTGGTTTCTTCCTGTTTCTGGCTCCTTGAGCTTCATTTGTTGCTAAGTAAAGTAAGCAAGAAATCTGTTTGCAGACTAATCCAGTAACCATCAATTTTCCCATCCTGCTGGAAGACTGGTTGATTTCACAGGAAGCTATTTTAAATCAAACACAGAATTATATCATTTAATTTCCTCCATCTAGTATCATCTTCTGGTTAAATACCAAATCCTAATCCTCTGATCTTTTTCCCCTCTCATCCTTTCTCCCTGCCAAACTGTGCAGCCCGTCACGACACGCAGGCAAATATTTACCAAACGACAATCAGAGCAGCCAAATCCAGTCTGAGGCTTTTATCCAAAACATATGTACAGATCGAGGTTTACATGCAGTAACAGCATCAGCGTGTCCAGATGCTGACTCGAATCTGCATGGCAATGTTGTAGCCACTTTATTGGCTAGCATGTACCAGCAGAGGATAATGTTCACATGTAATGACACGCCAGAGATCTCTTTATAGAAAAGTGCATCCTGTTGCAGGATGAGAGACGTATTTGGGTTACAATGGCTGTTTCTTCAGACTGTGTTTGTGCAGAAAGAAGAGAATACTAGACCAGAGGGATTTAAAACATATTTCATTACACCGCCAGGTTATTTATCCTCCTGCTCGCTAAAGCTTCGTCTGAATCAGTTCACACTGTCAGCTCCAGATTATAAGCAGCAGGCCTGAATACCAAACCTCCCCTCTGCCTCACTCTTCAGACAAATATCATGACACTCCCATTTGTGTAACCTGGAATATGTCAATTACCCATCTTCTTTAACCCTCTCCCCCTTTCGCCTGCTTTTATCACATCTTCTCAGCAAAAGTATCCAGTGCTTTGTTCACACTCACCCTGAACTCTGCCACAAATTTATCTGTGTCCTCTGACAAAATAACCTCTCCTCTCCTCCTCTCCCTCCCACGCTTCTGCTTCTCCTCAAGCTTGCGGCCCTCACTCCCGCTCCTATCGCTTCCTCCCTCCATTTTTCTTTCTCTATCCGTCCCCCCTATCTCCACACAATAAATCTGGGTGCTCAGATGCGGAGTGGCCTTCATACTGCTTTGGTCTAATGCCCTAGACACGCACACACACAGACACAAAACCAAACACAAACTCAAAGGTCTCGTTCCTATAGGGCAGAGGGAGCAGAGGCGATGTGGTCACTCAGTGTGTCTGTCTGTGACTGATCATTTGGCAGAGACTATGTTTTATGAGTCACGCTTACTAGGCACAGATCTGTCCACTGTTGTTTCTTTCTCGCACTTCAGACTAGAAAACCTCAAAAACAAATATACTTTTCTGCTCGCACGCGCACACAAACACAGATATACACAAACAAGTGTGGTCAACATTTCTGTCTTCATGCAAACTTATTTTTTTTTCAAAATCGCTATCAAAAGTGACTTTGATAACAAAGTTTGTACTGGTGCGCTCATGTGTGTGTGTGTGATGTTCTTATAAACACACCTTTACGGATCTCCTCTCTGATCTGGGACTCCATCTCCTCCATTTGGAGTAGCGTTTTCTGCCAGTAGCGTTCTGCCCTTCGGCTCTTTGTGCAGTACACTACCAGAGCTGAGAAAAAAAAAACAAAACACAAAAGAGTGAGAAAAATACAGTGCAACTAATTTACAAAACAACTGCTGTTATCACACACTGTCAACTTCCTGGAAATAATAACAGGGTCAAAATGGGACTGAGAGATTTTCGAATGGATGAAATTATTTTCGTGTTTTTTTAGCTTTTATGAGCTCGTGGAAAAGACTTTGTGCCAATGTTTTTCACAGTGAGAACACGGGACGTTAAAATGATTTACGCACTAATATTTCAACATTTATGTCACACCCACAAAGTCTGGCAAGAAAAGAAAGGAGGTTGGCTTTTTTTTGTTTGTTTTTTTTTTAATATCTGAGAACAGATTCATACCGGGAAACTGTGTGAAAATCCACACTAACACCAATTTTCACCCATACACCTGCCCCAGAGACACACTCAAAGATTACAGTGTATACACACACATAAGCACACAGATGGAGTAAACGGTAAGAGGAACACTGTGGTCTTTGTGCAATGGATACTGAAGAGGAATGAAGGGAGGCGCGGGAATCTATGACCCCCGAATTCCTTTTATCTATTTCCCATCTGGAGCACGCATTGCTATAACAGGCATACATCCATCACGTTCTGGTAAGTATGTGTACACAACTTACCCACAGTGCACAGCAGCAGCAGCACACAGCACACCACAATGGATACCACGATGGCCATCTCGCTGCCGCCGAGCTGCACTGTGGCAACTTTGCGTCGAAAGTTCCCCACTTGCACCTAAAAAGAAAAAGGAAATGACAAATGAAACTGGGTCAAGCTCCTTCAAAAATCGGCCTCCTCCATTGTTCTGTTTTAAGTTTTCCCTTCTCCTTCTATGGATTTTTCTAACAGCGTGACTGTCAACTATATCGCCTCAAGCCCAACATTTACTTTTGTGTTCTTAGAAGCTTATTTAACGATATAAAACATTAAATTCAAAATAAAAAACTTTCAGCTCTTAATCACTGCAAATAAAAATATACTCCCCAAAAAACAAGCTACCTATTCTATAATTATCTGACAATATGTGCATTTTAATATAACGCTTAAATGATCCCATCTCCATCTCACTAGTCCAGAAATTTGATAAAAATGCCCCAGCTGTCAGATCTTTTGAGTCAGCTGCTGGTTAGATGTTGCAAAAAGCCAACTCTAAAGCTGTGCAAGCATGTTGAAATCCTAGCAGATGCACTTAGAGTAGTGGGAATATGAGCAAATGATGTGTAAAGATAATTATAGCAGCCCAAATGAGATAACATAAAGGGATTGTTTAAAATGGTTTGCACTGATGAAGGAAGAGTGGCGAGAATTAAACCCCACTTCCTGAATAGTTGGCTAGGAAATGAATGGCTGGAGTCAAATTGTTGTCCCTTTTCCTGCACTACATTGTAACCCAGTAAGGTAATATCCAAAAAGGCAAAAAGAAAAAGTTGAAGGCAGAAGTTTGCAGAACACACAGTAATGAGCAGTAGATGCATTAAAACTTTTCTTTGTAACACAGAGTGAGTAGAGTGCAACAGAAGCAGTTCTTAATGAGAACACAAGTTGCTGCAAACATGCACAAGCACATCATTTTTTTCTCCATAGGCACAGGTGCACATATGCAGAAAAAAAAAATTACACACTGTAGATTTTGAAAAATGGTCTCTCGCTGCAACGAGTCACCCAGTTCAGTCTAACCCAGATGTGACAAGAAAAGAACTTTCACTTCTGCCTTCTGATTAGTCAGCAGGGTCTCTCTGGTCCCTGCTCACATCATTCCCGCTCCTTCCCCAATCTGAACATATTTCATGAAAAGAGACGGAGATAAAAAAGCCTCCAATCCTCAGACCAAATCCTTCTTACAGTGGTCTTACTCTAACGGGGGGAAGCTGGCTCACCGGGCTCCCTCATTTTCACATTCCCTCTTGCTCTTTCTGTTCCAGACATTTATTTACTCAGACCAGCCAGAGGAGGCCTTCTTCCAGAGGTTGCAACAGCCAGGCCTGGTGTAATGGAGGGGAAAATGCCATTGTTCCATGTTCCTGTTTCGCAAAAACACTGCTTCCCCACATCCACTTCTGCAGCACTTCAGAGCCAAGCACAACACAGGCGTGCAAAAATAGATCTTCCACCAAAAGTAAGTGAAGTAACACAAATGGCCACGAGCTATGCGTCACCCCAACATGTATGCATTTATTCAAATGTGCCAGCACAAAGGAAAATGTACTTGCACTCTGTATTTATGCCCCTGTCAAATGCGCTTGCAAATCATCCTCAGTGCTCGTGTGCAGGAAGCAGACAGCCCACCCATTTGTGTTATGACATCTTATCTGACCCTTGCCCTGACTTTATGTGTTTGCTAATTGCCAGTGTTTATTCTGAGACATCCTGAGAGACAGATGGGGGTGGAGGTTTGCTTGAGCAAGCCACAGGTACACAAGGAGAGACAGACAGAGAAGGAAGGAGAGGCTTTACTTCTATTTTTGTGTCAAAGTGGGGAAACGCTTCTTACAGTTCACCTCAACCGTGGCAGAGAACGACTAACATATGTTTTCTGAGCTATTTCAGCAAACCACTCGCAGTTTGGCTCATATTTAAATATAGATGAATGCTTTCCCCCTTAATAGAGCCCTATCGAAACAGACCAGAACGGATATCTACAGATGGGGAAGAGAGATGGGTAGGAAAAAGAGGGTCTGGTTTTATCAGGACTGCTCAGGGCTTAGCCATGTCTTGATTAGGGCATTTAATGGAGAATGAAAGAACCAGGAAACAAAAAACAAAGACACAAGTGAAGAGTGAGATCATCGCTGACTCAGAAGTTTTTGGGATCAGTGTGAGCAGTCTGTGCAATATATGATAGAAGAACTGATAAAAGATTAAAGACATGAACAACAGTTGGCAAACACATAACTATTTGTTGTGGCACAGAATGACGACTAACCACCCCCAACTGACTACTATTTCATGATGGAATGAGGAGCGACTACAACCCATTTATAATGCATGTAGAGCGGCACACTCACAAATGACTTGCAGAGCACGCATTCAGATTTTTGCAGATAAAATCCGTTTCAGTGTGCATCACAGGTGGTACAGATTCTGACTAAATGCTTGGCTTGAATACCGTGTAATATTTGGTTGAAACTCTAAAATTATCGAGGTCCAGGCAGCAATATTTTCAGCACAAGTCTGAATTGTATATTTGCATGTTATAGTGTTTTACAAGGTTTAATACTTACAAAGACAGGAAGCTCCCTTTCGCTGGAGCTGGATAGTCCGTTGATAGTGCAGTGGAACAGCTGGTCATTGTGAAAAGTGATGTTGCAGGGATAGGAGCCAATCATCACTGAGTATTCCTCCGGCATCAGCTCCAGATCGCTTGGTACTTTCTGTGCCAGAAACGAATAAAAACAGCCGTCAGCCGGTCAGGAGTAAGATAGCAGAGGGGCCTACTTCGAACAAGCGCAGATAACATTCACGAAGAGATTTACCCCACACATACGTGCAGACACATAGGCATTCTAGTGTGCACGCACAGAAACCGAGCCGTGGCAGGCCTGTCATGCAGCTGTCATGCAGAGAAAGGCAGCGGGAAACTCATCCAGTTTGGGCTAGAGTTCAGCTCGAAGCACAAAACATTCCCACTCCCCCTCTCACATGGCCAGAAAAGTTTCTACAAACAAACCCGATCACGGTCATCCCTGTCTGAGCCCAGAATAACATTCTCAGGGCCTTTACAGAAGCCTTTTGAAATAAGATGCATGGACAATGTTTTCCAATCAGTCTAACTCTGCTGCTTCCATTAAAGCCCGGAATTTCACTGCTTAAATAGACGCTCGTCTGATTTTACACATGAAGTGTGATTTCACTGACTCAGGAGGTGTAGCACTTAGCTTATTTAAAAAGCAGCACAATATCTTCCGAGGATCTAGTGAAGGATTTTTAAATGCTTAAAAATTTATAGTAGGGATCAGGAGAACTCACTTTACAGATGGTGGGCACTGAGTTTGAAAGATTTTTATCAGGCATGACAGAAATGAAAGATGTCCTTCACTTCCAATATGGTAATTTCTTGATTTTGAAGCTTGTCCCGTGTTAGGACCTAAGGCTCAGATCACTTGCACAATGCTAATTACATGTTAATCTTCATTACTTCTTCTTCTTCTTGTTTTGGCTGGTGTCTTTAAAAGTCACCATAGTGGATCATCTTCCTCTTGCACAGCAATCCCCTGCATGTTGCCCTACAGTACATCCATGAACCTCCTCTGAGGTCTTTTTTCAACATTCTTTGTTCAGTTTACCCACTATTACTCCTCCATCTCAACATTCCTGCTCAATCTGACCTGTCCCTAATTATTCCCATTATTTAGTAGAGTCTCTCACATATCGTCAAAATATCTGAAACTCTTAGACTAAAGTACCCTTTTTAACATGTATAACATAAAATCTAGTTGTCTGTTCAAGGGTCACGGTGGTTAAGCGGTTAGCATTTTTACTTCAGGTTCGACCCAGGCCGGGTCTCTTCTGCAGGTTCTGCCCATGTTTTGGTTCCTCCCCTACCAAAATCATAATGGGTCCGTGCTGTCTATGTTGGCCCAGAAGACTCATGCAAAATAAATTCTTAATCTGAAATATTTTACTAATCAGTTAATTAAGGGTTAATGAGTAATGCAAGAAACGTCATTCCACCAGAGTTCAATAATAGTTTTTCTAGTCAGGAATGTAGAAACTTCAGTACACAAAGATCAGACACAGATGATTAAATCGGCTGTAAAAAGTCTAGCTGCATTACTTCAAGTACTTTATTTGAAAGTAGAAATCCAGTCAGGAACAGTCAGGAACGAACTGTAATCTTGCCACAGTGAGCTTTACTGTGAAACAACAAAGAAGAATTTTAATATTCATCTTTGGGCACTAACTCCAAGGTTTGTGTATGATTGCATGACTCCTTGTGTTTCTTGTGGTTTTACTTTTTACTGTGTCACAGCCTTCTCTGTAATTAATTTGCTATGTACAGTGTTATTATTACTAATAATAGACTAACCTACAAACAGAGAGACGTACAAACATATGAGCCTTTTTGTATGAAATGGCAATTTCCCTTCAATATAAGAATGACAAGTGAGGAAGTATGCGTGTGTTTATCCCCAGCGTGCTTCCTTGTTTTGATTACACCCTTAGGACACTGTTCTGTCCCCACTGCAGATTGCAGCCCCCTGGGTCTCTGTCAACAAATGCTTCCTTGAACAAACACAACACACACACATCATACACAGACACAAAAAGCATCAAGCCATCACACCAATATGTTTGAGCATATTCTAAGAAATAGATTTTTATAACCCCAATATGCACAAGATTTTCACACGGAAACTAATAGAAAAGGCCAAAACAATGGATTCAACAGGCCGAAAACAGAATAAAGGATAACAAAACCCACCCACATTCCAGCTCAGGTTCTTAATATAGGCTGGCTGGCTAACAAGCTCCCTATTAAACAAACACATTTCTCTTCAGCCTCTCTCTCCCATTCAGCTCCACCACGAGTGGAATCCATCTTCCTAAATCAAACAGGAAACAACAAATGAGTCGACCATGTAGATGGGCTGAACCCGGCACACACCGACACATAAAGAGGAAGCTGCGTCGTGTTCAAACTTTCCTGTCTGCGCTGTTAGTATGTGCATTTTTTTACGGTGTCACAGCCAGAAACCCTCTAGGGTGATGAATTCATGCAGACAGGTGCTTAGATCAGCCAGAACGTGGAACATGGGACTTCCAACTAAACAAAGCCCCCCTTCCCCCTTAGACCTGCAACATTAGAAGTCAACACATTACAGGGGACAGAGCCTTTGAAGTGTTTTATATGCCTCTGGTTTATGTGAATATGAATAAAGAAACAGTCAGCTCTGTCGGCTCATAACAGTGGGGGCATTCAGGTTTACAGCAGTGATGCTTTTGAAACCACAAAACAAGCCAGAAAATAGCATCACTAGTTCAAGGAGTAGAGTAAGTATTTCATTTTTTTCAAAGCTCGCCACATAACAACATAAAAGGCCTGATGTCTTCTGATGGTACCTTTAAGTCTGACCAGCTTTTTGATGAAATAAAGTTAAAATGCAAATTATTTGTGTGGAAATGTCTGTAGGGACTGGCAGACTTCTGGGGATTTCTGAGGATCTTTTTGTAGACCAGCACAAAGTGAAGCATGAAAGTGATTGAACAGTGTCGCTCACATTGATGATGAGTGTCAGCTGCTCCCCTGAATGGTGTTTGATTAGCTTCTCCTTGTTGGCGGTGAAGAACTGAGGATCCTCCACATATTCCAAGGGAAAGTGACCTATGTGAGGTTCCTCCTCTTCTTCTTCGTCATCGGTATCAGACGAGAAAGGCGGCCTGTCATTCGTGTAAAGGACTCCATTCAGCAAGAACTGCACTGAGGTCGGCTGGGATTGGTTGGATGGAGGAGAGCGGCAGGCAATTGTGGAGGGGGTGAGCACTTCACACTGCTGTAGAAGGACCAGAGAGGACAACAGTTACTTACTTTGAACCAATAATTTATTTGTGTCTGCATGTTTATGACTACATCACAGGAGAAAATAATTATTTTCTAGTGAATCCCAAGATCCCACACATCTGACTATCTGACTGAAAGCGTCAAGCAAAATAAATGAGGAAATAATTAGGATACTCACTGAATGTCCAATTCCCACCACCTGCATGGTGACACTCTGTACCAGATCAAAACCCTGGCCTGTCACTGTGATGTTCCTGCCACCACTGTGACACACACACAACAGAGAGTCACATCTCAGCTGCGACAAAAAAATGTGTCAAATTCATACTGACATGCAAATACTTTGGGACCCTTCTCCAACACGAGACAGAGACAGGACAAGATAATAAAGCACACCAGTTTGAATACACTGAAAAGCCTCACATGTCCTCAAAAACATGCCACTGCCCTGTCACACTGAAGCTGTGCAATTTAGAGAACAATAGGAAGAAGACACTGAGGACAATATTACAGTAATGACTTATGCCTGTGACTGGGAATGCGAGGAGAACTCCAAAGTATTGCATGTGGAGATTTTTAATCCTTGAGATGTGTGTGGTGGTATACGTACCTGCGGAAGCTCATTTTGGGGTGGATGGAGGTGATAGTGGGGTTCCTCTCATAGGTGTATGTGGTGCTAAGCTCTGGACCCTCACAAGTTTTGTTCTCAAACTCTACACACACTGTTACTGGGTCAGTGTGTGCCTGTGAGGCAGGAGGCATGATGCATTCAATTGTTCGAGCTGTTTTCCTAATAAAAGAAAGAAAAGAAAAACAGGTAAACGGTGTAACCTCAGAACTTGCAATGTCTACAACTGTTTAATCCCCAAAATACTTCCAATTACAATTGAAGTCATATTGGCAGAGTTGCACAGAAGTCAAAAATCTGTTTTGGAAAGCATTAGGGATACAGGTAAAGGTGCTGAATTTTATGCCGGCTTCACTGTGCAGCCTGAATAAATAATTACTGTGTAGCTGCATTTGTTATCAGCTACAGAAAAGGGCGCTATTAATATGGGCAAAGCAAAGAAAGCTATTTAAATCCTTTGTGGTTTATTGGTAAGCATTCAAAGTCACAGAGAGTTTAGAACCACTTGAAATTTGGCCAGCTTAACAAAAGTTGCAGAAACTGCTTGACGAAAGTCGCACTCACTTAGTGATAATGCATTCCTGTGTTGTGTTGACCTTGACTTTAACCTCAGATCCAATGTTAAGGTGTTCCCCATTGATGGTCACTTTGGTTCCTCCAGCACGCAAGCCCCGCTCCGGCTCCATGGACAGTAGCTTTGGGATCTGCATGCAGAGGAAAGATATGGGACACTACTAACAAGAAATCACATTTATCAGTAGAAATCTGACAGCTTCTGTCACTGGAAAAGACAGGCTTAGTAAAAACTGCGTTTGTGCTCTATGATGCCTTTCTTGACAACAAATAAAATCTTTCCTTATCCTTTGAGGTTTAAATATTACGTCTTTACAGATGGGCTGAGACAGCTGCTGACTATAACAATAAATTAGTGAGGAAAACTGTGAAGACAGCCCACGCTGCAGTATGTTAAAGTGCTGCTGAAGCCAACAGGCATTTAAGGCCCAAGTAGCAGGACAGCTGTACTGTACTGCGGGTAAGAAGCAATAATGTTCATGCATACGCATGAGAAACTTCATGCACACGTAATCATACATGCACAAAAGCACCTACACACAAATAAAAAGCCTCCTTGGGCGAAGATGAATATCCCTGTCCGGCTCTGCAGCTACCAGCATCAGCATTCCTGCTCTTTTCAAACTTTTTATCCCCGCCGTGAACCTCGCCTCCAGGGAAACCTCTTATCCTCACTGACAGGATTCACTTCCTCAGTGCACAGGGATGGAGCAGACCTATTGTGTATTTTTGTTTAGGAGGGGGCGTAAGGAGGCAGATGTTTCCGTCAAGAGGTTTGAGGAAGGAGATGCGGTAGAGGCACATATCCTGTCTCCAGAACTGCTTCCCCTTTCTCTCACATCTTCTCCTGCAGTAAAACACCTCCCGACACTGACCAGTTCTGAGATGGATAAGGAAGCTCAGGAGGAGGTCCAACAACAGTCCTTACTATGTTTGTCGTTCTAGATTTTAAAAAAATCCTTATGTATCAAGAAGGGTTTCAAGATTGGGATGATTTCTCTGTGGGATGACTCACAAGGAGATCTGTTTGTAGAAGCTCCAGACATGACAGCTCGTTCCAGCACTGGATTGTAAAAAAAATTCTTTGTCTATAAACAAAGAGAAACAAATGGCTTACATGGGTATTTCCACTGGGTGAATACTCTTAGAGACTGAGAGACTGTGTGGGTTGAGGTCAATTAACACAATGCTGGCCAGCTCGCCTCGTCCGGTGATGAATTCAGAGCAAGGGGACATTCCAACAATCACCATATTTGTTTTTTCTGGCATTCAATGCTGAATGACAATGGTGCTTAGCTTACAGCTCACATGGATGTTTGAAGATTCCCACACACTAGCATTCCTCTGAATCATAAAACGCATCTGTTAACACTTAACTGACACACATGGGGAGGCTTTCCCAGTGGGGAAGGAGCAAAAAAAAAAGGAGCATAGATGAAGAGTGTGGAGGAAGAGGCAGATAGAACAGAAAGCAAAAACCAGCAGGAGGGTGGATATCTGGAGAATACTCACTAAATATGAGAAGGTCTCCTTTGACTTCCCCATCCCACTCTGCTCCACATCCACTTGGACAATATCGCTCCTGTTATCTGCAGCCCTCCCAGTGACACACACCAGCCTGGGGACAGAACACCACAACAGAGGATCAGTTAATAAAAGAGAACAATATGAATAACAAGCAAAAAAAAAAAAAATGATGCTCACAATTTTAAATCAATAAACTCATTTGAAAAAAAAAAAGGAGTCGCTCAACTCAAATTGCAAGTGAGGGAAACCAATATAAGAATGAAAAAGGAGATCTCGACCTGCTAAACAAAGACACATAATTAATCTTGGGGAATAGTGTTATGAACTAATTCATCAATGCCCATTGCATTTACATAAGGGAATCCAATAAAGCCCTGGGATATCAGATATTAGGGGAAGTAAAGTTCAAAGCTCCTTAGACCAGATGTGTCTAACCACAGAGGAGATTAAGAAGCTGCCGTGGCTTGTACTCTTACCTCCTGGCTGTGATTATACCCTGTGCCATCAGTGCACACTCTACAGAGACGTCTCATATTAATGACATGGTGGTGTACTGAGGCACAGAGACCTACTGTTCTGGGACCTCACTGGGATAAATGTACCAAAGGGGGAACACAACCTTTATCGCCTCAAATGATCTCCTTCCAGCTTGACACCCTGTCGGTTTATTTAGTCAGGTGCCTGCTGCTACAGTGGTTATAAATTCTCAGCTAGCGATATATGATTGACAGAGGAGACCCATGGAATTTACATAAGTGCAGGAGCTGTGCTTAGTGTGGGAGGACCTGGCAGGACACACAGTAGATGCGGCTGGGCTGGGTCGGTCTAGGCTTGGCTGAGGTCAAGCTGTTGGGGCTTTCTAAATATCAGGCCTTAAACAAAGTGACATGTATTCTAGCATATAACAACCCTAATTAAAACAAATTTTCCCCTTTTTTCATAAGCCAGAATAGGTGTTAAAAGGAAACTAAAATAACCTGCAGTACCAACCATCTGTTGATAGCAGGGTCTACATTCATGCTCATTAATTACAGAAGCATCAGGTAAAGAATGCCATTACACTCAAATTACACTCCTCTCAGTTATGTGGCATGAGGGCAGAAGTGCACCTGTTTGGGAAAAAATGCATCGCTTCACATGCTCTAAATTAGAGAGGAAAGAAAAACAAGGACAAACAAAATGAAACATGACTATTCACAGGATCAAGCCTGAGGGAAATAAGAGAAATTGGAGCCTGAATCAGTCTCAACTTGCAGGGTAGCTTCAGGCTGGGAACTAAACTGTTATCAAAACTGTACATCATATTATATGATGTTTGCTATTGAACCATAATGTTGAGGATAATTCTGCACAGCAAAGACACAAAGTCATTTTTTCCTGTGAACTACAACACAAGGGGTTTTCTCAGCAGATAGATGCTATGATGAAGTCAGCCTGTACCATTTAAACTGAAACTAGGTGTGTCTCATAGTTTCAGGAAAGAGTTTAGAATCTTTCATAATCCGAACATGTCAAAAACATTTTAACATTGCCTTCAAACCTGCTCAATCTAAGCTGTCCCTCATCATTCCCATTATTTTTTAGTGCCTCTCACATATTCTAAAACTATATTTAATCCTGAGATGAAATTACCCCTTATAATGTCTATAACATCAGGTTAAGTTGCTTTTTCAAGGGTTAGACAGCATGGTGGCCTCTCTACCTTTGTCTCTGAACCACTCAGTTTGAGCCATCCCGCTCTCATTTCTAATCCTGTATATCCTGGTCACTCCCAATGAAAATCTTAACCTTTCTTAACCGATTCAGTTCTGCCACCTTCAGCTCCTCCTGTTCTTTTGTTATTACTACCATCTTATAACCACACATCATAGCGGGTCTCACTGCCTTCTTGGAAACCTTCCCATTTACTCTGGCTGCTATCCTTCTTTTACAAATCACCCCTGACACTCGTCACCACCCACTCCACCCTGCCTGAACTCTCTTCTTCACCTGTCTTGTACACTGTCCATTGCTTTGGATCCTCTCATTGAACACACTCTGTAATATTTGACTTCACACTGATAAAACACTGTAAAAAAAACACCAACAAAATCTTCACATTGGAGAACCTGGAGCCAGGAAACTGCTGCCATTTTTGTTTACAAAAATTTATTTAAACAATTAACAGAATTATCAAAACAGATGTTGAATAATTTGGAATAATTTCCTGTTGATTGACTAATCAATGCAGCTCCACTCGAAGTATATAACAATAACTTCTTATGGCATAATTAAATTTCCACCAATTAACTCAGATGAATTATTTTTAATCTTCTGCTAAATTAGACTCTTGCCAGTTACGAGACAATTAACTTCTCAGAGCTAGTGTGGCAGCAGTGACAGTACTTGCTATATATCCCACAGTGCCAAATGAAACAGTGCAGAAGAAAACTATGCAGCCTCCCGCATACACAATGCATGTTGCAACACTTCCATGTTTAATTTTTAGATATGTACCAACGTGTCCAATGTTCCATCGATGTGCAATCAGATAAAAAAGCATAGAAGTAGACTTTTGTAAGATATGCAGATAATGTGGTGTGTGCATGAGGGTGTATGCTGGACGTGATGTTGATGTGGTGTGATTCTACTCAAAGGACAGGCAGACTCCCTGCAGGAGCGCACAGGGCCTGGGCTGACCCCTGCTCTATATTCCAGCATTGCCCCACTGTGGAGATATTACAGTCGGGAGGGCAACATTTGTTCTAGCACTGAGATGTCTCTAATCATTTCCCTCGAGTGGCTGCAAAATCATCAACAATCCAGTCCGTATGTGTCTGAATACAAGTGTTTTCTGGGGCCGAGCTAAATGGACACAGCGACGGCCACTCAAGGTTCGTATGAAAATGATGAAAAGGAAGGGCAGCATGGAGGACCTGAGCCAAACATCAAGTGAAGCACTTCAATAAATGAGGTGTGCTTAGACTGACTGTGCCATTAATTAACATGTTGACACTGGGTGAGAAGAGCATAGCCTCTCCAGTGCTGCACATTTTCCTTTTGGCACACAGATGTGAACTTTCACCTTTCAGCACACGGGCAGACACCTGTCTCAACAGTCGTGGTAAATGAGGTCACATGCACAGGTGTGTGTATGCTGATGAGTAGGCTGTGTATATGAAGAGAGCAATACTGACGGCTGGCAAGGTCTTATGAATGAGGGGAATTTGAAGCAGACCTTCCTGCTTCAGGGGTGTGGTGTGAATAGCTTTACATTGTACCTCAAAATTAAGTTGTGAAGGTGATGAGACAGGATCACTAATCAATCACCGGAGTGCCCCACAAGGAAGAAGTAGAAAAATGTCTGGTTTCGCATGCCTGCGCGTGTCTGTGCAAGTCAAATGTGCTGACACTGTCAGACGCACTGATGTGTTATGATTTGTCAGTGCCACTTCCAGCAATGACGACGTGCTGTCACAACAACCAGCCTTTGGAGCCAATAAGGAATGACAACATGGGATGAGCTCACCCCGGAGTGAAACGTGATTCGTTGTTTTCTACATGTGTGGTTTGGGGGGAATGTGTCAGGCAGTTGGAGTGACAGGTAAGACCCGCAGGTCACCCTAGAACTGGTCTTAATACAATGATTGGCTTCAGTGGAGCAAGACCAGATAAACAGTTCCATTCAGGGAACATTACAGATACGGAATGAAAGTTCGGATGTAATTGTCGAGTTACTGACTTTTCACTGAGTTCTGCTAGAGTCGGAGTCGGGCTCCTTCTGTCTCCATGGTGACAATGTGACGGTTCCTGAGCTTTGGAGGGGTGGTGATGGAGCCATTTAAAATGAGAAGTGTGCTGCATAATAATATTTGTGAAAATTAGCCTCATGAATGCATGAAAACTGAGCCACACGTGGACAGTGGGTATTTTAATTTCATGATTGGTGGGCCTATATAAAGCAGATCTAATCACTGTCACAGATCTCTGTGATGGTGATTAATTAACAAGAGGAAGTTTATAAACTGCCCCCTCTTGGATTGTCTTTAAATAAAAGTTGGTCAAGCACAAAATAAAAAGTATGGATTTCCTCTGCTGCCCTTGATGGTCTATTTCTGTTTCTTTTCTTTGTAGCACGCCAAATAATAGACCATTTTCCACCTGACCTCCTAGACGTTAGAACTAGGGTTATCTGGCCTGGGATCAAAAACTTTTACGTTGCTTTCATTTATACATTTGGCATGTATACAATGAATCCATCTCTATCACTTTCATATGCTCTGGCTAATCTGTCGGTATCTAGAAATTTAAAACATTTTGCAGAAGAAAAGATAAAACCATTTTCAGTGCATTCTTTTTTCTGAGAATTTGAGGCTCAGGTGTAATTTATATTTCTAGTTGTCGCTAAAATGGCTTCGAGCCTTTATAAACACCTGGAGATCTGCTGGGCAAACTGTTTCTAACTCGTCACCGTGAGATTACCTACATTTCTTTCTTTTTTAAAAAACTTTTGTCCTATTGTGCAAAATTCTTAAGTCTGCCCTTATTTCTTAACATTTTGCTTCCAAGGAACCAAACTATAATGTAATGTTTTTAGCAGGCTTTGTGAAGTCTTCTCTTTACCCATTAGCTGCTGTTTATTCATTTTAACACTGACCTATGAGACATTCAAGCATAAAAAAGCAAAGAGCCTATTTTAAATTGTGTCTTCAGACACTCTGTTACAAGAACTTGGTTGTAAAAATGATTTTTTTTGTCAATTTTTTAAAATTTGAGCTTACAATAATATTGAAGGTAACACAATTTGACAGGCAAAAAAATAATACATTTTCAAGAACCAGCTGATTTCTAAAGCGACGTTAGACAGAAATTATCTGGAAGTATCTGAGAGTGATGTACAGCGTTTCCTTAAAAAATCTGAAGAAACTGAACAAGTAGAGAACAACAGAAGAAGTATCAGGCCTGCAAAATGATTTACAGCAGATGAGCAGCATCTGAAAGTCATGTTCTCAAGAAATAGAAAAAAAAAACAGGACCCAAGAGATGCATCTGGACTTTCAGTTCATTAAGCTACTGTTTGCTGAAGCCTCTCCGGAGGTATACTAGACTGAAAATCAGTGCAACAAATCTCATGAAGCCCATAAGACCGGTTCCAAATCTGAAATTTGGTTCAAATTGTCAAAAATATGTATGGAGGAAGTCAGGAGAGGGGCTCTGTCGTGGTTTAGCCTGTATTTCAGCCAGTAGTGTTACTTACAAAAGTAATCCAAAGAACAGCTTTGGATGTCTTTAAGGAACTATTGGGAACTATTCCTGAAACTATTGAAAAAAATATCAGGAAACTTGCTTAAGAGAGTTTAGGCTGTGGGGGAGCAAAAACATGCTTGTCTCTGGAGTCTTGGACAAAATCAGAATACCTGAAGAGAACCCATGCAAGCACAGAAAGAAAATGTAAACTTTACATACAAAAAGCACCAGCCCAGTCCATCGCAGGGCCAACACAGAGATAGAGACGTGCTAGAGACTTTGTTTCTAATAAGACATTTGCATTCTCATGTGTACCTATAACAGGTGATGTTTAAAAATGTTTGATGTTGCAGTCGATGTCTGAAAATGGCTTCTGTTTAGATAAATATGCTTACATGAATATTCTTTCCCACCTGGATTAGAGGGTTTTCAATATAGAAAAAAATATTTCCCAAAATCTTTTAAAGCATGGCACCCGTTTACTACTTTTTCATACTTTTCCCAGCTGAAGACATTCCAGTGTAATAGAGGTAGCTTCCACCATCCAATAAAAGTAGGCAGGTGTGACTGAATGATCTGATTTGAGGGTGTTTTAGCACACACAGTGTTCATGTCTGAGATGTCCATGTCAGGAGTCTTTCAGTAACAGTGAGAAATCTTTCCATCACTTGATCTCCGTGTGTGTCTATTTCAGCCTGCCATCCACCTGAACGCTCACCTGCCTGAAATCCTATTAGGTTACCATGACAACACCATGACGACAGGTAATTGTCAGCTATCATCTCACAAGTCCTGACACTAACAATGGTGCATATTTCATCAGGGTTAAAAAAAAAAAAAAAAAAAAAAAAAAAAAAAAAAAAAAAAAAATTATATATATATATATATATATATATATATTTATAGTTGGTGTACAGGGCAAGAAGTTCAGTTTTGTTATTTCAACATAGCAGATAATGTGAAAAGTAGTTAAATATATAAAAGATATAAACGAGACAAACTGATATGATTGAGCAAATTTACAGGGAGAGGCTGACATACACTGCAAACGTATGAATCATAATTCAGTTATATGTTGTAAAACTTACTCTGTGGAGACAGTGTAGAACTGAGGCAGCAGAGTACAGTTCACATCTCCTATAGAGACTCTCACTGCTTTAGCCCTCCTGCCCAGGTTCCTGCCCTGAACTGTCAGCAGGGTGCCTCCTTCCACTGGACCACTTAGAGGGGAAATCTGTCAGAGACAAAGTGAAAAAAGAAAATATGAGAGGGGAGAAAAAAAAGGCAGTGAAATTGGACAATAAATTAGAGCTCATAAGTAGATTACCGCCCTAAAAACACTCCACTAACGATGGGCGATAATGAATATGACAAAGAATTAGGAGAATAGAGGTGCCGTCTCTGATGCTGACATGGAGTGTGGCACACACACAGAGATAAGGGCCCATGTAAGTGTTCTTCTGCTGAAGACTGAGATCTAATTGAATAGACACACACTTTAGGTATACACACACACAAAGCAGACTCTTAACTGCGGTAGTCTGAGACTCTTCAGCCTCTAATCCTCTACAGCACATGCAAATAAAGAGCAGACTAAGAGCCCCCTTCACATCCCACAAGAGACAGAGAGAGTGAGAAAGTGAGGGCTGAAGAGCCGAGGTGTAGAGCACAGCAGAAAGGTGGATGAGTGGGGAGGCAATTTAGGGGACTGATTGTCGAGAGGAAAGTGAATGCTGATGGTGGTGGTGAGAGAGCAAAGCCTCAACAGGGGAATTAATGCACAGCACTATTCCCTTTCATCTGTTTTCCTGTGTCTGCTCTGTCAAATTCCTTAGTCCCATTTCTGCTGTTGTTCAGAGGCATACTCTCACGCATCATTTCAGCCCTCACTTTTGGTCTCTTAACTTTCCATTCTGGAGCCACAGAAAGAAAAGAAGAGGACTGTCACTTCTCCAGTCGCCATGAAAACTCAACTTTCTCAGATAACATCTCCAACGCCCAGACAGAAGCAATCTAGCATCATCTTGCCACTGTAGCATAGCTATCCCAGCAGTGCGCATGCTTTTCTGGATGTCCCTCTGGCTGAGCCGAGGTCACGGTGACCCCTCTGTGTTATTAGCCTGGCTCCGGCTCTATCTGAAACTGAGCTGAAAAATGAAAACAGCACTTCTGTTTGGTCTAGGTGAGAGGACAAGGCTCGGCCCTGCATTCAAATAATTCGAAACCCACAAGACTGACAGCACAGATAAATAAACCATATATTTCCTAGCTAAAATGGGAGGCGGTTGAGAAAAGAGTGAATGTGGTACTTTTATTATGGTGTGAAAACAAACTGTTGGAATCCAGCCCATTACTTACCGTATTTCTGTGAGATTTACACTGCAGGAAATGGTGCAAATGTTTTTGCGGTTATATTAAGGTTTCAGACATTAAGTGTGGCCACCCCGTGTCTACTTACACCAAGTATATATACTTCCTCTAACAAAAACATCACATTCTTTCACGCACATGTAATCCACAAACAGCATATAAATGCTTGTCCGCGCAGTTGTGCACACGCACACTGTAGTATGTCAGACAAACACAGAAAAGCAGCCGGCAATATGCAGTTATTTATTATCACTATGCGTCGTATAGCGCGTAGTGCGTCCCTGCGGTGCCATTGAGACCTGACAGCAACATCAGCTTGCATGCTGTTCATTTACACCTCTTACAAGTCTGTGAGTCCTGATTTACAGCGCAAACTCTGCCAGGCCTCCTGGGAGATCACAGGGTGTGAATGTGCCTCAGCAAAAAGCTCCAGAAGGAAAGCTGGAGCTTTTAAACAAAATTACTCCACATTCTCGTATTCAAATGAAACATGCTCCAAATGTACATGCATGTATATAAACCTGCACCAAACAAACCAGCTACCTAATGAAATCCACATGTTTTCCTTTTCATTTTTGGGGGGGGGATTGTTTTGAGGTCAGAGCTTTCATCTTCCTCTCCTCACTCGACTTCCTCTGCATCAGACTAATCAAGGAGGACGTGAGGACAAAAACAGGAAAAAGCTTCTCACTATACTGTACCCTTCTCCACCCTGTCTTTTGTCCAACTAGCTCTCCATCCTCTCTCCCAAACCATTTAGGTCTCACCCAAGTCCTTCTGTTCCTTTTCTTTTCATGTTGTGAGTGAACTATGTTTTGCAGTTCCTGTTTTGGTTGCCAAAGTACCTCTAATCAATGGATTTTTTTTTTAAATTCCTTGAACTAGTCTAGGTATGACATGAAAATAAAGAGCCCCTGGAGTTAATAATAAATGTCTCCATTGTCTTACGTCAATGAATTGAACAGAGCATTTTTCTCAATTAGGTGCTAAGTGGCAAAGTTTAGGGAATAATGAAATCCTCCTCTGTATTATTGATATTTTGGTGTGAGTACCTTGTGACAGAGATTGTACGTGACAAAGCCAGAGCGATGAAAAACATGTTTCATTATCTTAGCAGCACTGTCGCAAGGACTATATAACAAAGAGCTGCTGCAGTCTGAGTGTGTTTGAATGTTTGGGGAGAGCGGAGCTTTTTTTTTTCTATAAGCTGGAGGACTTGGGCTCTAACCCCTGTGGATTCTCTGGGAAAACACGGCTGCCAAAGCATTGCATCACTCACCCCACCGAACCACAACCCCAGTATCCTCTCTGCAGCCTGCTCTCCTGAGAGAGCCAGTAGGAGTGTGTGTGTGTGTGTGTATGAGAGAGAGAGAGAGACATGGAGTATTGCAACAATAGTCTACCCACACATACTGAATCTCAGCCCAGCTAACTTCAGTCATGTAAGAAGTCCACATAAGTTAGACTCTCACAGAGCATCCTGTTAGTCACAGTATGCTGACAGCTACAAAGAATGAAGGATAATCGTGAATGCTTCAATATGGCCTATTTGTGTGACAGATTGTGGGCTTACGTGTGTGTATGTGAGAGAGTGTGTGTCTGCGCGCCTGCTTTGTTCTGCTTGCCGACCAGGTTTTATCTACAGGAAGTTCAGGCCGACTGAGTCTCATGTGAGCCATGCTTCCCATGACCGCCTACCAAAGCTGTGCTGATATAATGCTTGGTAGCGGCAGAAAAGGCTCGGAAGATGACTCTAAATAGGCTCCCATTACAGTTGGAAAAACAAATGAATACGATCATGCAAATGAGCTCCGCAAACCCTGGCAGTAATCATGATGACGTGACTGCAGTCAGATCCCGTGTAAGATAAATACTCCTTAATTCCTTTTAGCAGTGCGGTTTTTCTCTTGTTGTGGTTGCAAAATCTCAAGTCCCTCATGGTTCTGATTTGTTTTCCTTTTAGCCTTTGTGGTTTCATACATAAAGGGTCCTACACACATAGCTTTCATGCCCCAGTCCACATGGTTTGCTTATGTACAGCTGTTACATGGTGCAGAAGGTGTTCCCATGGCCTCCTGAGTCATTGCAGGTCGACTCATTTGGGTCTCCTGGGGTCTGTGGCTATGTGACTGTTAGTTTTATCACTGAATGAGCTGCTTTAATAAGGTTCAAACAAAACCTTAGCAGCTGATCCTGGACTGACAGACAATCTGGGTTGCCAGACCATGTGAGTGACCTCATGATTTACCATTACATGGCCTAAATACCATAGGTGTGAGGGATGCAGGAGGATGAATGCAAGCATTTGTGGCCCAAAGTCCTGCACGTTTAACCCCTGAACTTACCTCATGGATCTCAGGATTAGGACACTGATCCCTGATTGGCTGACATTCATCCCTTGGCTTGCAGATGCTGTCACACCAGCCACAGAGGTGTCCCTGATCCTCCCGACCCCAGCACTGGGAACAGTCCGAGCTACCCACACCACAGTTGTACACTTCCACTAGATGAATATGGCAGATAAGGGAGAGACATAGAGGCAATTACTACTGTGAGAAAACATTACTGAACTCTGTTTGCCTTGACTGGTCAACTTAATGTACACTCTTCAAGGTATTTTCTTTTAGAGCTTTTATGAAGCTATGGGCTGCGTGCCCTAAATAAATAGCATAGGGAGTTAGAGGATGATATATTCACAGCTATAAAAATAAACCAGTAAAAAAGGAGAAAGAGCTAGAGGAGTGGAGGAGAACAAAGCCAGGGAAAACAGATGATTACGTTCATGTTCCAGTGTGCCTCCCAGTGAGAACTCCCATTTGTATCACCACATGTGCATCTGTGCAGCTGACTGTGTGCATATTGCAGTGCGTGCACGCCTGTATGTGTGTGATAAAGTGTGTGTCATTTTAAAATTTGATGACACTGCATGTTCAGAAAGCGACCGTCTTGCCTGTTAACAGCACAGAGTGTCTGGCAGTGGCCCAGGGCTGTTGTTCACATGGTAGACACATGGATTGCAAACAGCACATCTGGGACTGGGATAGGCAAAAACTGGCTTGTAGCTGCACTATAGACAACACTGCCAAGTTCAACAACACACGTCAGTTTTCATCATCTCACTGTTGTCATGGAGCTCAAACTATATTTGCTACAATACATGCGGACATTGCTTGAGAGAGGCATTGATAACACCTTAAAATTGCAGCTCACTATGTTCTCCAATCATTATGTGTAATTAGACGGTAGCAGGATATAACATCATGGTAAATTACTGGTTGTTGGCAAATTATGTGTTGTAATACACAAACTGCTATTACTGCAAGTGAAAGGTAGTCGCACACTGTTTGTCCCTGTAAGGGAATCTTTATTTTTCTACGGATTTAATAAAACCCATCAATCTCATGAGAACACATCTGGGTATGGGTGAAATGCATTCTGGGAGCAACAGTGGAGGCTATGTCACATCTTTTTTCTTGTTGTGGCGGGGATGTAATTACACTGCAAATACATGAGAGGTGAGCAAACAAATGTAATGGAGCAGAGAGCTGTGTTTTCATCTACTCCTTTCTTTTTATTTTTTTTCTGCATGTCTACATAATTATGGGTTTTTATATCTTACCTTTCATAGGCTGGGGGCTGTCAATGAATACATCCTCTCGATGTCTGATAAAGGCTCCTCGCCTCCTCAGGTTAAGGTGGTAAATCTGACTCCTCTGATTAGTGGAAAGCTAAATAGACAGGGCGGAAGACGGCATCAGCAAAAACAGGTATGTCCTCAATGTTCTCGTGTCTTTATTGTATGTAATTTTGCTTCCACTTAGTGATGCTCTAGATAATCATAGGTTTCTAGCCAAGTCTTAAACAAGGGTTTAAAATAATTACATCAAAAACAAGTTACAAATAAGCGTTAAAGCTAACAATAATGAACCCACTGAACCAGTAAATGCACAGTAGATGCGCCGGAGCTTTAAGCATGTTTATTCAGACTTGGCAAACTCGCTCATTTCTGGTAGGTCATCGTCTGTACTTACCGTCACTCCACTACACTTGACAGTCGTGCTGTTCAGCCATGTGGCCTCATATCGCTGCTCTGTTCCAAAGTCACACTCCAGCTTCTCATTCTGTTACGCAAAAACACTTACTTTAAAAAAAAAAGTAAAGCATTTCAAAAACAGCAGAAAAAAAACCTAATAACATGCTGTTCTCACTGTCTCAATCACTGTCTGGTAACAATTGACAACTCGGAAAGAGAACCAGGAAACTGAAATAACCCACAATAATTGTCCCTGCCAGGAAAAATGTGATCTATTCAAATTTCATATTCATAAACATCTGGACTCCAACATCTCAGCAAGTCATCTGGGAGTCAGAGTAATGAATATGAATTCATTCTTCACAAAATGAAAGCCCCGAGTTTTACTGAGCCAAGATGTGTGACGTTAAGATCGTAAAGAAGCTCAGATAGGTAAGAGCAGTAAAGGATAAGTGCCTAAAGTGGGAGAAGTAATTTGTCTGTGAATCCAGCCACCCTAAATTGGTCTACTTTACTCAGTCTCTCCAGGCCTCTGCTATTTCGCTGTACTTTTTGACACCGGAGAAGCTCTTTTTTTGTGTGTGGGGTGGGGGGGCACTTGCAATGAAATGCTACTGAAAGGCTTCCTGGAATTATGTTCGATCTGAACTAATATAACAGCAAACAAACTTGTAACCTCTTGCTTGTTCATTAATGCTTCAGAGAGGCTGTGTGAGACCGTGTTTAAACATCCTTTAGGTTTGTCCTTACGGAGAAGTGTGGGAACCAAACTGAAATTCTAAACAAAACCCAGAAGGATCCGAGCGATGGTGATGCTTTGGGGAGAATGAATTTGACTGGCAGAACATTTCCTGCTCTGCTGACTTGTCGACAATCTGAAGGCATTAGTCAAACAATGTCAGTTTGGATAAACTTTCATAATAAACAGCGTGAATGGCCAATCACATTCACGCTGCCCTAAGGAAGAGTGTGTGTGCGTGCGTATGCGTGTGTGTGTGTGGGGGGGTGTATGTGACTCAATGTCTGTCACCATAGCAACACACCAGGAGACGGCTTGAGAGGCCAGCCTGGGTTAGGCGTGTGACTGACCACGCCTGGCAACCAGTCAGCACTGGAATTTTTAGCAGATCCTTATCAGCGATGCAGGATCGGCATCTGGCTGGCTCCATGTGGATTAGGAATGAGAATAAGAGTTTGAACAACTGATCTGGAAGGACTAGCTGAATTTATAATGAGCCCATGCAAAATAAAGCCGCTGCCTTCTGTGTGTGCGTGCTGCCTCAGACCGACTGCACATTGTACGCTGTGCTGACAAAGACACAACTCAGCGAGTCACCAGAGGCACGGTGGGCCCAGACAGCTGAGCAGCGAGCAACTAAGCATAAAGACAACCGCTCATTCTTCATTTTTTAATCTCCGTCTTACAACAAGCAGATCACTCCAGTTTTACTCACTCGTTGACCCAAATCACAACACACAAATATCCATCTGTGTTTAACTCAGCTTGAAGCAAACACACCATATGCTTGTGTTTTATTCCAATCATTTTCACAACACGCAATTTGGACAAAGTCCAAGTCCAGCTCTATAGCTGGAGGCTGTGTGTCATACCTCCTGGATGTTGCTGAGGGATAACGTGAAGTCTTGGACCATTCCTGATGGCGATGGAGGAACCTCAGAGGAAACCAGGCTGGGGCAGGAAGCGGCATTCTGTGGTGAAGAGGGAGGAAGTGACATATAGGAGTTAAAGAAAACAATAGCTCCAATGCACACATCCGTGCCTCAAAATACCTGTCCTGTTTATCTGTATGAGAAGGAAATGAGAGGGTGAAGCCTTCCTCTAAAGGAAACAACAACAGCTTCAAATAGAGAGATGATGAGGGATTAGAAAAGCAGACCCACCGGACAGTGCGATGAGCTCAGCAGAATGGGAAAAACCCACCTCATCATGTCAGTCTGACCTACATCAAAATAACCTTTTTACAGGTTTAAAAAGAGCCTTGAATTTTAATTATAAAAACTGGCTTAAAAACTAAGAGTTTCTTGTGCTTGGCTTGTTTATTTATCAGTTTCTTGGGATCTGAAACAGCACACCCGACTGGGATTTATTGCATTTGTACAAAAAAAAAAAAAAAAAAAAAATGCTGTGATGTCTTTATTACATCAGTTGTCTGCTTCTGTTGGGGATCTTGTGAAATAAAGGCGAGTGTTAAACATTCATGATCATACAAAACTTAAACACTGCTGACCAGCAGCTGACCACAGGACTGAGTCACATCCTTTCATTTTTTAACTGGAACCAGTTGTGTGTGCCCCGAGGCCCAAAGTCTGCTGGGCCAAGCAGGCCATGGGATCTGGCTACACAATAAATTTACACAGGGGACAGAAATAATACAGTGGCTGACCTCGAAGGCCTTGATGATGTCAGGATTATGTCCAAAAGGACAGTGGCTGGGGAGCTTCAATTGGCTTCAGCAATGCTACACTTGAAGCTTTAGATAAATTTCACACTTTTACAGCCATTTCATTCTCTTGTGCCAAACATGTTACACGATTTGATGATTTGTTTGCTTTAACAAAATACTTTACACCCTACGGGAGCTGACATTGGCAAACATACAGTTTCATTTGTACTGTACAGGCAAGCTGCAAAATAAAGGGCTATAGAAACCTACGGTGGAAAATGTAGGCGTTAATTTAACTCTTCGCTGGTATCAAGCAACCAGTCAAATTACTTCCAGCCCAAATCAAAGCACAGCAACTCCATTTATCCTCTCAGACAAACATTTCAAAAACAGAAACTTAAGATGCCTGGTCTGAGTTTCTAAAACCAAACCCTTCTGAGACTTTATAGCTGGTTTCCACATTCGTACGAAGTGTAATTGTGACACTTGTAACATCACACTGAATTACCACATCATTACTCTTGCCTAACCCGTCTGGACTCAGACCATTACAGAACACTTAGTGTTTTTGGACAGTGGAGTCTGGATTACTACCGAGGCTCTGATTACTAGAAAACTTAATATCATGAGCTCCTCGAGGCATCTGATTGGTGGATTAAACACATTACTCACCTCAAGCAGGTTTTGATTCGCGTCATCTTTACTGGAGACGCATAGGTGCTTGTTTTGGTCCCAGTAACACTTCCACCTTGTGCTCAGGCAGCTCATACATCTGTGACACACATACACATAAAGAGTTGAGAAACAAGGACAAAATATTGCCAAATCAAGCCTGTTTTCGCCTCTGTACAATTACTCCCTGTGATCAACTCCAATTCAGGGAAGAGTGTTTTTCAAAAGTTTGGTTTGTGATTCATTTGGAGAGCAGTGCAGAGAGACAGACCTGATTACAGGCATCAAAGTTTAGCTTTAATAAAAGGAAGTAATGATTAGTCACATTCAGATGCATTCATTCCACAGTTACAACACAGCCAGCAGAGAGGTCACACAGGGCCAAATCTGCTGAGATGAAACAAAGCGCTTCTCAATAAACACTCAGACTGGTAAATGATGATGCGTGTGTGAGCATGCTGTTGCTTGTATTTATATCTTTGTGAGATCAAGTCTGAGTGTTACACTGCCTACGTGAAGATATTTTGGCAACTAAAACCATCAGCAGCTTGTAGAGTCTATACAATTCATACCCGCTGATCTGAGACAAGCCCACATGCACAGGTTAAACATGCACAGCACTTGCAAACTGTTGGGTGGGCGTGACTCGTCTGACAGCTGAAGATGTCTGTCTAGGTGAAATAAGATTTGGCTGGCCAGAGCTTATAGAGAGGTTTTTATCTGCTGGACCTTGGTTGAATTTGAAATGATCAGTCTCAATTCTGGTGAAAAGAACAAAGTCAACAATAAATTTATCATACTAGCACATGCTGCCAGTGTTTGCAAAGCCTGTCTTATTTTTTAAAATTGTCAAGCAACTATTAAAACACATTGCATTACTGTGATGAAAATAGTTTATGCACATATATGCTTCCTCCGGCTGTATACTTAGAATACAGCAGCACAAGAAATGGATTCTAATTTAGAGAAGAAGAAAAAAATGAAAGGGCTTTATATTTGTGAACAGTTTTTCACTAAAATCAGCTTAGGGATAGCAAACACACACACACACACACACACACACACACACACACACACACACACACACACACACACACACACACACACACAAGGTAGAGCAGTTAGAAAGTGTAAGGAGAATAAAAACACACAGCACAATCACTCTTGTGCTTATTTGCACACTCTGAGTTTATTGTACAGTAGAAGTATCTCAAATATCTGAAATTCTTTATATATTCTATTTTTTACACATGTATTCATTCATTACTTTTTAGGACTCTATTACCTTGCATGTATGTATTTTCTTGATCTTTTGGACTTACGTCTACTTTTGTGGTGTATTTGTGTGTATTTGCTGCTGCAACATGGCAGTTTCGTTTTAGGGATTAACAAAGTAAACTATTTACAGTCACTGTATAAATAAAATCCCCTCTTCCAATTTTAAGCTTTTTAACATATCAAAGCATAATAAAAATATTCTTTAGCAGATTTTAAATTTGCTTGTTTACAATCTGAGATGAACCACAGCACACGATATATTTAACTGGGTCATATATAGTTAATATAGCAAGTCTTCCCAGGAATGGATGTCCCAGCAAATTGGACTGACGTGGACCAACAGATTCTACAGGCCTCAGTCAGGATGTTAAATGTTGAAGTTAATTATGGCACAATTAGAAAATGGCTGAATAAGTATGGCTTGTTTGGAAGAGTAAAAGCCTCTTCTACTCTACGAAGAACAAGGGAGCACAACATAGGTTTGTAAACTCACATCTGAGCAAACCGCAAGACTCCTGGAACAATGTCCTGAGCAGAGGAGATGTTTAACCATGATGCACAGCACCACATTTAGTGAAAACATATCAGAACAAACACTTTATACAAGCTGTCAAGTATGGTGGTGAAGGGTAGATGATTTGAGCATGTAGTCCTCTTTATACCAAAGTATTCTAGAGTCAAATGTGAGACCATCTGTACACCAGATAAAGCTTAACGATAGGACAATTGTCTGAAGTACAGCAGCAAATTTACAACAGAATCGGTGGATCAGAAAAGAATCATGTTGTTGCAATGGCTCAGTCAAAGCCCAGACCTCAACTACATTGAAATCCTGAGGCAGCAACTTAAGAGAGCTGTGCATAAATGGTAAGGCCTTAATGAAGTGAAACAACATTCATTTATACTTGATAGCTACATGTTTTGATATTTGCATGTTTACATATTTGAATGTTTACACCTGCACTTTCAAAGCTGTAATAATTATGTGTTGAATTTGCCTAGTTGGTTTTCCTGCATTTACCCAAGTCTAGGATTTCCTGGCTTTTGATTGGTTAGCGAGGTCACACTGGGGCTGAATTCAGAACCACATAACAAACCCTCACATTACAAAGTTATTGGTTCTACAAGTTGTTAAATCATGGGTGTGCTTAATTCCCCCCACACTGCTTCTGCACAGGGTGCACTTTTTTGTACAATAACACAGAACAGGGGCGTAGAAGATCTGCTTTGATAATATAAGTATATCTTACATATATGCTATATTTCAAAATAGAAATTTCTCTTAGAAAATGAAAAGTTGATTTATATGCAAAAATACACATGAGCCTTTCTTGGTCCAGTGTAAGAATGAACAGTGATATTTGGATATGAGGCAGTTTTAGTTTTGAGACCATTTAACATGTAGTCGAGATGATACAGGGTGGTGTTTGTGGATATGTGGATATTAGGTCCTTGCTTTCTGTGTACAGAGTAGAAATATGTCTTTTCAGATGAAGTGCCTAAACTGGAACATCTCCACTGCACATTATGAGCATGAGTAAAGTGTGAGTCACTGCGCTGCCTCTGGGAAGAGACAGATGTCCCACACTAGGAATGATAGTGCCTCCAGTGATAACAGCACTCTAAGGGAGTTTCTAGATTGGGGGGAGTGAAGTGGGTGCAAGAGGATGTAGATATGTAATTGAAACGTGTGTGTTCTGATTAAAAGCAGACGGACCCCTCAAGGCTCTTATCAGCTGCACAGTTTCTGTTTTCCCTGACTCCCTTTCTGTCCTACTAAAACACCTATAAACCACCACACACACACACACACACACACACACACACACACTAAGACTGACACACAAGGATTGTTCACATACACACACTCTCTCTGCTTCATCTAACACTGACAGTAAATACCCTGTGAAACTGCCCTCCCCAACTCATAATGACCACACACACAAATAAAGAGTGAGGCTTGCACTCTCAGGGCCTCAGTGGACACAGCGGTTAAACACACATCCTCAATCACATCTCTGTCAAAGAGAAATACGTTTGAAAGAAAAGATCAGTTTCAGGGGGGATGACAGAGAAAGAGGGGGGAGGGGGGGGGAGCAAACGGCAAGAGAGACAGAGAGAGAAAAAAAGAGAAGCAGGAAAGAGACATGCTCCAAACTTGAGACACAAAAAGCAAATACAGCGGCGAGAGTGTGTGTGTTTGAGAGTGAGAGCGTGGCTGAGAGACATAATGAGAGCGAGAGGGCAGGATAGGTGTTTGTCCTACTGGGCTGTGTGGTGAGACTGGAATGCCTGGTCTGGTTGTCATTAACACTTTGCCCGGTGACCATTTTGAAAGTGTCGTAATGTTTTATGGTCACTAGTTATTCTAATATTCTAAATTTAGGTGACTAGCATGGGTCAAGCTCAAGCTCTGCTACATTACCCTGAATGCAACTTAATAATACATTTATTTAGACACTGTCACGTAAAGTGGTTTTGGCATGGTTGCAACACATGCTTTCTGCTGCAAATTTAAGGGGAAGTACTGTATAACATCACCAGGCGTGTTTTCGCCTACTTTTTAAACCACAGATGGTATTGCACAAGTGATTTTATACTTTCAGTAATACTCTTTATTGCAAGCGTTGGCTAAATATTTCTTGTCACATATATGCTATTAAGCCTGACTTTCTAGCATGTGTTTTAGATCCAGGCTTTACACACTGGAGCTCAAAACTGGCAGTCTTTCAAGGACAGCTGTCACTGCGGTACGCTCACGACCTCAAATGAGATTGTTTTACTACGATTTTATTTGCATCTTTCTGATAAGAGATTATATTAAGGAGCAAGAGTGCCGAAGAGTTGGGACAGACTAGGGAGAAAGAAATGGGAATGCAAATCATGCAAGGTACCGGGCTTAAATTACACCCACTAACTAATGGATTTCTTGTACGGCTCCTACAGTCTCAGCCTTGTACAGAGTAATAAAAATGCATCAATAGTATTCAACCACCTACTACTTATCATGAATATAAAAAGAAAGCCTAGCATTTGTTTTGTGGTTACGCTATCCAGGGTTAAATCTGTTTTTTGAGGTGTTTTTTACTATTTAATATATTTTGATTATTGACTGAAGATGATGTAAAATGTTTGGCAGATGTGCCTCTGTTTCCTTCGCCTTTAATCTGATTTTCCCCCGCTCCCAGCTAAACAGTGTTGTGTTTTGAACAAAGACAATTAAAGCTTATAATAATTCACTGAACCACTAATTCACTGAACTTGCTAAACCTGAAACAAAAACTCAATTAATTAGATTGAAATGTTCATCAAGAGAAAATTATTGGGCGGCTATTTTGGTAAATGATTAATCCCTTAAATTACTGTTCTGTCAAAATAATCTAACATCAACAGGTCGGCATTTAAATTGTGCATGTTTCCCTTTTCTTTAAGAGTTGATTGGTTTTTATTGACACTTCTGTGAAGCACCATGTGACTGTTCTTTGTCTCAAAAAGTGCAACACAAATAAAGTTTACTTACTTACGCTTCTGCGCTTCACAAACCAAATCAGTAATTGATTATTCAAGAAAACAATTAGCAGATTAGCAGATAATTAGCTCTTTGCAGCACTAAGAATCAGTTTATTTTTGATCACATCAGTCTGGCATTACCACAAAGAGCCAGAATGCCACAGGAGACATTGTCTCACTTTGTTTTGCACAGTGTATTAATAATGAATTGGAATAAAATACCCTCCACTGACACCTTGCAGAAATGTAATTTTGCTTCCACACCAGAGTAGCATGAGACAGCACAGGACAGATTTTCTAATATGAGAATAAGTTTTGCAGCAAATCACTTTTAACGGTGCTTGCGTGACACTGATGGTTTACACAGACGTTCAGATGTCAGTATCTAATAACATAAGAAAAACCCGAGTGATGGCTTTTTTCATAAAGCGTAAAACAAAGACCCTCTACTATCCGGTTTCCCTGAGAATGAGCGGCTCTTTAGGGATTATTAACAAAACAGCATGCAGTGATTAAAATCAGATAGAGTATAGCAGATCCGCACATTACAGCAGAATGCTCATCCTGTGAGAATGGCACTTTGCTCATTATCACCTTCAACAAACCACCATCTAATTTCACACTCCTGGACCTCACCGAGCACTGAGGCCGCGCGCACATATTGGGTGCAGTCTTGCACACATGTACCTGCAACTGCAGTGTTCACACCTCGAAACTGCTTTCAAAAAGCGAACAAAAGGGACAAATCAAACGCCTTCTCAATCTCCGGGAATCAGACAAACACGCACACACACAGATGCCCCTCTAAACCTGAGATCTGCCCATCAGATAGAGCCGATCCTCTGACATGGTCCAACATGCAGGAGGAAGCCAGCTGGATTGCTTCCAGATATGAGTAAACCCTCCCAGTAACCGGGCCATACAAGTCACAGTCTTTCATATAAACAAACACTGACATGATCTGCCAGACACACATATCTAATTTCCCTTGGATTAATGTTTACAGCATATTAATCCCAAATTTGATCCTGCACTGGGAAACCTGGAGCAAGCAAAACACACAATAAGCCTTTGAAGACACGTCGAGAGTATTGAGGCCTAAATAGAGAACAGGGGAAAAAACATGAGAGGGAGTGGCTGGGGATGGAGGTGGCAATCATTTGCTGCTGTGAGATCACTATAATTGTATTTCACTGGGATTTATTTAACATTAAAGGTTTGTTTTGAGGAAATTTATTGCATATTGAAGCAGCTGATCCACTATTTAAGTAAAAGCATCAATATAAAGTAATAATACTCTGTTACTCAAAGGATCTCATTTATTGCAATAATTGTGCAAATTAAAGAAATATTATGAGCAAAATTAAGTCAAAGACCTCATAATGGGGAAATGTGTCCCCGGTGAGTGGCACACTATTAAGCTGCTTCATTATTAGACCATTACTGATGCATCAGAGCCTAATAGCATTTTATTATTCTACCTTCCAGGTGAACTTAGTTTCAGCTGTTTACACGGTTCAGCAGTCTTGTCTGAGAACTCGTGAAAGCTAAGTAACACGTAATTTGGTATCAAAGAAGAAGAGAACTAGTCACGTGTTTGAGTTTTTTTGTAAAACACTGAATAATTTAAATGATCAAACAGTTATCTAAAAAAAAACATCAATAACTCTTTGGTGGAACTGCTAACAACTTACAGATATCTGAGCTACTGGACACAGAACCTGTGCATCGTTCATTTTTCGAGACTGCAAGGTGCTGTGCAAAATGAGCTACCCCTCATTTTTTTCACATTTAGCTTCCAGGGAGGCAATTTAGTGACCAGGTAATTGTACCTTTAAGCACTTTGTTACTAACAGCCTGTTGCAAAACACAATTTGCTCCCATTTTTTTTTAGTTTCATCTGTGAAAAATGCCAAAGATAACACAATTTGACAGGCATAAAATAGTATTTTTGTACCGTCAGAGCTATTACCCAAAACCTTGGCATATCTACCTCAAACTCAACACAAAGCAATATGAAGCCCTGTGGGATCATCTTGACAGAGAACGAAACAAAACACAGCCAACGCTGAAAGAAGATCTTTGAATGTCCTGCGAGAAGCCTGGAGAACTACTTGAAGAAATTATAAGAAGGCTTGCCTAAGAGAGTCCAGGTGGTCATACCCACTGACTTTCAAGAATTATTAACACTCTATTTTTTCTTATAAACTGTATTTCCATGTATACTTGCACATGTTTCAATAACCCTGTTTTCCACTTTCCTTAAAAGAAATTAGGGTTAGTTTAAAACCTTTGCACAGTTCAAAAATTAATAAAAATGATTTATCATTGTCACATGATAGTTCATGGTTTCAAGATTGCAAATTACTACACAACATCCTGCAAGCCCAAATTTTATTTTGGATGGATTTTTAATTTCTCCAAGGTATAGCAGACCTAATAAGTTGAACCTGAAAAAACAAGCACAAGCTTTGATTGGAAGTAATTAAAAAAAAAGTAGTATGAAGTAGTATTAAGTATTAGATGTAGAAAAACCCAAATAAAATGTCACCATATGAGGATGAGGAGGCTCGGGAGGTTAAAGGAACTGTTTAGCTGCCTGATACTTGGACAGCAAACAGAACCAAAAGCCCGAGGCCCCAATAATCATGTCCTCCAAATGCAGATGCTCAATATTCATATCCAGATACTTATTTAAACAGATAAGGGTATGTGAAGCGGCAAAAGTGATCACAAGTAAGCAGCGCTTTTCTCATAAGGACATGGAGACACTGATTTGCTCCTTAACAATGCGCTAACATAGCATATGCTTAATTTACATGAAAACCCTAATCATGCTAGTATTTTGTGTCTAAATCTGGTGAAAGTTGAAGTGCAAAGGGTTGCATAAAGAACGTAGTGGAGGAATAAATATAAAGTAGTATAAACTATACTTCCTGAAAATTGAACAGTACTTGAGAAAATGTAAATTTCACCACTGCATCAATGCAAATGTGACTGCGTGTAAACGCATCACTAACTGGTTAAATCAAGAATTTGAGATAAACCAAAGTGATATTAAAAGTGTGACTCACGGTGTCTTCGGATGTATTTTTCCAGTCCTCTCGCAGTCATAGATGATGAAGCTCCCAGATACCACAGATGTGCCATTTACTTTTATCGCCACAGAAACCGTCAGGTGATCTGAAGAAACAAAAGAATGTAGACAACAGCGTATGTGACAACCGCTGGAGATGATATCGCCCTCATAACACAAACTAGACAACAGTACATCCTGACGTTACACTGACTTTGCCGCTTTTTGAAGAGATGAAAGGGGAAATTGGATTTGTTCGTATAAAAAAATGACTCAAATACCATAACTGTCCTTGAAATGTGTGGAAAAACATGGCTGGCAGCTTAGCAAAAAAAAAAAAGCCAAATGGTTGCCTGTTTGCAGTCCCACCTTTGCCGGGGAGGATTGGTTGATAGCTTTTTCGAGGGAGGAGAGGGCAGGTTTGGATCTGAGAGGGACCGGAGTCCAGGTGCACCGTGGCGACTGTAGAAACCCCCGGCTCGTATTCACACTCCACCCGGGAACCAATCAGATCAGGAACGCTGCCGTTTATCAAGATGCCAACATCCTGCGGCAAAAACACATATAGCAATATAAATAGCTGCTCGTCTTCATCAAAATTAATTAGAAACCTGAATCCCCCAAACGCACAAACATCGACTCCAATACTCCTTAACAGAGAGCGAATGGTGTTGGCATTACTTCAACTTTGTTCAAGAGTTTAAGCAGAAATAAAGAAACTAATGTGCAATGAAGAAACAGATGGCACAGTGCTACATTCACATCTAAATCTGGGTATGTGATGAAGTATGACAGACGTATAATGAGAAACATAACACCTCACTGACATGACTGAATTTCAGCTAAATGATTTCAATGTGAGAAAACTAAGGGTGGGATGGTGGGAGAAGGCAAGGATTGTTAAGTAGAGAGGAAGGAGCAAGATGACATATTCTGCAGCCCAGCAGGTAGGAACTGAAGCAGCCGGCGGCATGTGCTTACTTGTCTTAAAAATCTTCTCCATTGTTTAGTGGAATTGATCATTTCCTGCCTAAGGCCCTGACTTCCTGCCTGCTGCTTCCTGCTTTTGGGGAGACAACCTTGAGTGGAGTTTCCTGTTGATGAAGGATGCCTTTGGCAGCGGCAGCTGGAGGACCAGCCACACTGACCCTCATTACAAGCAAATATCCACAATTAATGAACCAATTAATGACCTGTCGTCTCCGAGTCAAGTCCAATTATGATCTGTAATTAAAGGTCAACTATATCTGAGGTGTCAAATTTCCCTGAGCTAATTATCACATTGTTATCTTTTGTTACGCGATATAATGACTGTTAAGAATTACTGAAAACAATAGTTTGGAAGCTATACCCCATAAGTAGGTGATGCAGTCACTCTTTTAACCAGGATATATTATCCTGCCAAGTCTGATTAAGGTAGTGGTCCATTAAATACCACTTATAAACATCTGCAAAGCTAAGGGTGAAGATTTTAATGGGTAAGCTCATTATTAATGCACAAAAGGTACTAATGAAGCCTGACTAGCTCTCAGGTATACTTGAAAGTTGAGTTAAATGTGTGTTTTCCATTAGTACAAAGGTAAAGGTGATTGGAAACATGCCCACATACAATGTACAAATACTATAGAGTAAGCTGACATTGGAAAGTCACCGCAAATTACTTTTTAAATAACTGATAAAACATATTTTTCTGTCTGCAAAGCAGCAAAACACTATTTACTATTAATCTGCATTTCATTTTACCAATTTTAGTTACAGCTAAATATAAAAATAAATAATAGATGTGGTGCTGGTGCATTTTGGACCATCGCTAATGAAATCTGATAAATATTATGGCTGCCTGTGCAGATCAGCAAAGAAATCAGTGCTTCAGTTTTTTGAGCGTGAAACTCTAGTTCTTTATTAGTGTGTTGCTTAGCACAAATTACCAGGTATCTGTGTCTTTGTGTTGCTCCTATACAGTCTTTTAAATAAAGCTTGTCTCCTATGCTAACAGGTGTCACTGAACTGGACCTCTTTGCCATTTTGATGATGTTGATACCTTTTTTGGAGCATTTATCATGGATTTACTAGAAAAAATACGTTGCTTCTAGGTCATGATCAATTCAAGAAGTTTTTCCCCAAATTTTGTTAAATAAAATACCATTTAGCACTAATTACCTCTGTTATAAACACATGAAAACACAAATAATTTAGAAATATGTGAAAAAAAGTTGTTAAAACTAAAAATAATATTGTTATTTATTAGCCAAAAAAAAAAGAAAATGATATCATCTGTCATACTCAGATTTTAGCCAGTACACTGAAGTTGAATGAGAAGTCATAAATTAATTAGCGTTCAACCACTAAAGCTAATTTTTCCATTCAGTAAAGGCAGAAAATCCCCACATTTTGGCTTGTTAATCAAAAAATAATCATCTGCTTAAAAAAAAAAAAAGTAATTCATGGGTAATAACAATAATTATATTTTAGAATTAAAATTATCATTTCAATTAAAGAGCTTGCATGTACTGGTGTATTAACCACTACAGAAACATACAAAATGATTTGGGTAATTACCCGTACTGGTAATTTAGGGTAGCTTTGGCATAAACCTTAAATTGGGTGGTGGACTAATATACACCTGCTAGCACCTATACAGTCTTTGAATGCTGCTAAAAGCCTTTAGCTGATCGGGAGGAGACACAAACCCAACCTCAGGGGGTCACAAGCTAGTGTAGTCTTCATGCGGGTCCCTAGTCCAGACAAATGGGAGGGTTACATGAGGGAGGGCATCCGGCATAAAACCTGTGCTAAATCAAATATGCGTGTCCATCTGCTGTGACGACCACTTGTGAAATAAAGGAATAGCTGAAAGTACCAGACTAGCCTTAGCCTATAACTCTGTACTCCAGCCTCTTATCCATATTAAAACCAATGGAGGATGTCATTTCAACATTGTTGAGACACCTGGCAAAGTTCTTATTTGAATTTCTTTGCTGGGTCAGTAGAAACCATTAAGGAGAAATTCGCACGGATAACTTCCTGCAACCATGAGCACGAATAAATATAGATGCACTTTAGAGTTTTGACATTTGACTTGTTGTATTTTTCAAAAACCCAGTAAAACAGTGGACTGAGGTTACAGTAACATTTCTGTATCATAGTCCATCAGATCAACTCATGTATTCAGTCCAAGACATTTTCTAGCTTATATCTTTCTAGCTTATATAGATTTCCAGAATTTAGACAGATTTTTTATTTTTCAGGCTCTGTGCTTCAAAACATTCAGTTTTGATTCAAACAGTGATCAGATATTGCCAAGTCCCAGCTTTGATTTTAGTCCGTGTTGAAAGAACTACGAGGGCTTTTCAAACACAGTAGTCATATATCAAAGGTTCAAAAGCAGTTGAACAATCGACTACCAAATATTTCTGTGTGTCAGCTGTGTGTTGTTCCGTTCAACATAAAAGAGCTTCCATATGGCTCAGAGTTGAGGGTGTAGCTATAAAGAGTGAACATTGACAGCAACATTTTTTAAAAGCTGGAAAAAAAGCAGATGAATGCTAGCGTTACATAAACGTATGCATCGCTTTAAGCAGGAAGTTGTGATGGTGGAAGAAGCTGCAGTAGCACACGCCACTGGCACTTTATTTTATTAGCCGAGTAATAATAATAGTCTGTGCTGTAATGGTGAGAGGTGTCAGATTATAAAGGTGGTCATGAGACATCAGCTTTAAATAAACTGTCCCCATTGCAGCCATAACTTTGTGAAGATCAACAGCAGTGCTTGTCTGACTTGTGAAAAGCATGTGACGGTAACAATAACATACAACGAGTTCACAGCACCTTGATGTCTGCCGAGATGCTAATCTCAGCGGGTGTCAGGGTCATGGAAGGACACTGTTGGGGGCCTTCACCCATGCTGATCCAAGAACGGGCCAGCAGCCCCTGAGCGCACTCCTTCTGGATGGTACATCTGGACAGAAAGAAACAAAATGAACATCATATCTGCTACATCATGTGTGTTACATTTTCATGTTGAATCTGTTGAGATTAGATTACAGGAAGAAGAGCTTCAACATGTTCTGTATGGCCTAAACTTCAAGGCCATGCACATGTTGCTTTGCTCGTCCAGTATCAGATTATGATAAAATAACTGCTTATCATTCCTGCAGCTGATAATCTAGACCACAAGACAGCCATATGGGTTTGTGAATCCAGAACTTCAAGGTCGTATGTGTCAAACTCAGCGCCTACAAGTCTAATCTGGTCCTTTTAAAAAAAAAAAAATTTTTTATTCGGCCTGCACATCACTAGGTTCTCAAAAAATGTTGCCCTGAACAGTAGGTGTCATGGTACTATGCTTTTTGTTGTAGTTTCAGTTCAGTGGCTTTTCTATGTATCTTTATCTTCCTACTTCTGATGGTTGTTTCTCCTTTTGTCCTGTCTGCACCTGCATCTGGTTTCCCTTCTTTGTGACTACCCACCACGCCCTCGGGAGTTTCACCTGCGTCCAGTCAGCTGTGCGTGCAAATAGTCATGTCTCTCCCTTTTTATTTGTCCCACTGTTGCTCCCCAAAGTCTTTGTGTTCTACTAGATTCATGATTTTTTTTTAGTCAGTGCCCTGCAGAAGTCAACTCATTTCTGTGAGTTGTTTTCATCTTTAGATAAAGCTTGTCTTTTGTAGGTTCAGACTGCCTCTGGTCTATATTTGGGTCCTACCTACAGAGAAACTTCGAGGGTAAAGAGAAGCCTGGCTATGAGGCGTTTGCGTCATCATTTTGATTCAGTTCTGTGAAATTGGTTCTTGTGAATAGGTTATATGGTAGCCTTGTAGAACTGCACAAGGAACAGAATAATTTTGCTTGACTAAATGGTCTGAAGGTCAAACAACATTTAAGCTGACTGGCTGAGGGCTTTTCAAATTTTAGGCGTGAGGACTATATGAGACATGCATTTTTGATTAAAAACTGCATATAAATAAACCATGTATGACTGTTAAAGTGATTCCCATTACCGATTGTGAACCTTGATGAAACCATGTTTGACACCCCTGTTCAAGGTCAACTTTATATTCTTTGTGAGGTGAGTTTGTGTTTTCATTTCATTCCTGGAGTTGACGAATTCTCTCCACTGGGTTTCATGGTCTGCTTGCTGCAGATTTATGAGGTGCTCTGGTCTCCTAATGTCACATTCAGACTTTGGCTGTCAGTTTGGCTGGCTCGACACAAGAGACTACTTGACCTTAGGTCATATGCATTGCTATGGTAACCCATCCCACAGGCACAGTTACAGATAGCAGAATGACAAAACTACCAGTCTGATTCTTAGTCTGTTTGGACCAACAGTGCATCTAGGAATATGAACGCTGGACACATGGTCAGCAGTACCATACATACAGTCGTGTGTATGTGCGCAATCTGCGAGTATAATGAATGCCTGGGACATAAGAATTGTAAAAGGGCACCCAACAAGCAAGGTGGCCTCACACCCTGACTTCTGCTTCACTAATGAACTTCACCATTGGCACAGAGCTCAGTTCATCTGCAGTGCAGACTGAAAGGACAAAGTGACCTCAGAGTAAGGAGAAAAAGAAGAGGCCCCATCTAGCAATGACCTAACACGGTACATAATGAGTTTGGCACGTCCCACTTCCCTTCTATACTTTCACAGTTGTTTTAAAATAAAGTGTGTCTTTTTGTGCCTGCGCGGCTGTAAGCGTGAGTGTTTGTGTCCGAGAAAGTCAGTGTCCACATTGTCAGTCCCAGCAGCACAGAGGGACTCAGAGGGGCCTGAGGTCAGCTGCTCAACTAAAAATAGAAATAAAGGGCTTTACAAGCCAGAGGTTGTGATCTGTTTTTTAACTTCCTTTAAGGAAAATAAACACTTCTCTGTTTTTCAGTTCATGAATTTGGTCTAGTATCAAATATTCTAACAATTATGTCCTCAGATAAGGACTCTTAATAACACACATTCATAACACACATATAAAAGATAGTTTTTTAATAATTGTATTAACATCAATGACTTGCCAAATATAAGCAAGTCACTGTGGAAATGTTAGCATGATAGCATTTTACTCAATAGTCAATACTCTCTTCAGTCAAAACTCCAAAGGGATTGAGGTGTGATGCTCCCATCATGTCTTTGAAATTATTATTACAAACCTATAGTTGCCAGTAATCAGTGTTGGTCAAGTTACTTGAAAAAAGTAATCAGTAACTAATTACTGATTACTTCCCAAAAAGTAATCCCATTACTTTACTGATTACTTATTTTCAAAAGTAATTAATTACTTAGTTACTTAGTTACTTTTTAAAAACACGATTTACAACCTGAATAGGTGATAAAGTGATAGATCTTTCAGCCCAATTCTACTTTTTCTACATAATCCATCATACAAAATGTAATCAAATGGAAAGGTCTCTTTTTTAACTTGTTTTATCAGTTTTAATCTTTTAACTTTATGCATCAAGCAAAAATTTAATTATATGCAACATTCTCTGACTGGAAGAAATTTGTTTAACATTTAAACCTATTTTCTGCACATTCCAGCACATAAAATACAATATTTTTTGTGTTTACACTCACTCTTTCAAATAGATGCAAGTAAGACACAGCAGAAAATAAATAAAGTCAAAGACTCAGCGGTCCTGTTGCTCTATTTTCACCTGTAAAGCAGGACTGCGGTAGGCGGAGGTTTACCCTGGTGCAGGTGTGCCGCGGTCAGTTGAAGAATCCGCGACTTTCTCTGTGAGTTTCCCATTACGTCGTAGCTACTCGGTGTTTGCTTGGAAGTTTAGGGGTTTTTTTCGCTGTAAAAAGAAGTTTTCTTCCCACGCACAACAGACGCTAATGTTTTTGTCACTTTTTATGGAATCAAACTCAAAATAAGGTCAGTACTTCCACGCTTTAAACGCTGCACGCTCATACTCTCTCCCACAATCGATATGTGATCCATTGTTGATCTGCACAAAGCTGTTGTCACTAACGGCGCATTCGCTTACGTCACTGTCGTGAGACATTCTCGCAAAAAAATCACGGTTTTAGTAACGCAGTAACGCAGCATTCCTACGGGAAAGTAACGGTAATCTAATTACCGATTTTGCAATAGTAATCCCTTACTTTACTCGTTACTTGAAAAAAGTAATCAGATTACAGTAACACGTTACAAGTAACGCGTTACTGCCCATCTCTGCCAGTAATCATTCATATATGTTGAGATTATGAAATAAAACAACTTCCATTTGGGTCATTATCAAGTGCAAACCTCCAGGGCTGAAAAATTAATCTGAGGCTTGAGTACCTCTTGTGCATTTCCATCAGTAGCCACTTGAGGCTGGCTCTCGAAGCGAATCAATCCCCAGATTTCCATTTTAAAATGCCTGACTTCAGCAATTAAAATAAAATGCTTACAGATAGTTTCACCAATTATAGTAAGTTTATGAAACCAATGTTTGTATTTTGTTTGATTGCTTGGGTTTTGTAGAATTCATTTCGACTGAGGCAGCTATTTTTAGCACTTTATTTGTCTGCTGCTTCAAACTGATTAGCAGATGTGGTCATGATAAGATGAAACTCCATCATGACCAGCAACACGTCACATATTACACCATGTCTTTATTTATTGAATAAAAATTCAGACAAAATGCAGAAATGGTGCGTGAAAAGTACACCATCACTGCTTCTACAGGAATTCAGAGGGTAGGGAGCAGTTGCTGCTAATCAAATACACTCGATTTAACTGATCATCAGCAAGTGTGAGCACCTCTATGAAAGAAAATGTTTTGGCAATTTACTGGTGTGAAGCACTCAGTTGCCAATGCCAAGGAGGAAAACAATGTCTTTAAATAAGCAACTGCTGTTGCTTATCAGTCTGGGAAGGGTTAGATCACTGTTTGGCCATATTAGCGGACGGTGCCACATATGGAGAAAACCAAACACAGGATATCAGCAAAAACACCTCATACCAGCTGTCAAGCATGGTGGTGGAGGGGTGATGATTTATTTTGCAGCTACACGACCTGGGCACCTTGCAGTCATTAAGTCAACTATGAACTCCTATGTATACCAACATATTATAGAGTCAAAAGTGAGGCCACCTGTTTGACAGCTAAAAGTTGGCCCAAATTAGGTCACGCAACAGCACAATGATCCCGAGCACAGCAGCGAATCTACAGCAGAATGGCTGACAAAGCAAAGAATCAAGGTGTTGCAATGGCTCTGTCAAAATCCAGACCTTATGAAAGCTGTGCACTGATGAACCTCAATGAACTGAAGCAACGATGTAAAGACGAGAAGGCCCAAATTGCTCCACAACAATGTGAGAGAGTGATTAAGTCACACCAAAAAGAATTACTTCCGGTATATTTAAGAGCATTTCATTTTTCACACACTGCTTCTGCATTTCTTTTAGTTTTTGTTAAATAAAAAGTGACGCTGTGTGACATATCCTGTGTTGCTCATTTGAGATTATATTTACCTGATTATGAGACCTATAAGACCGTATCTGTACCAATCTTTTATGGATTCATTTTTCTAAGCAAACTTGTACATCTTAGCTGATAACTTAGTTCTTCATCCTCTTCTCTGTCTAAGATCACATCTGGCATCTTCCTTGTTTATTTTATCCAGTAAACTCAAGATTGTATCTTTAAGTACTGAATAGCTCATAAATACCAGTTGGTATGAAATGAAGCATGCATCCAGGAAATGTACAGACTCGCAGTCTCAAGTGATCATCAGCAAAGCAGCATGTGAGCTGAAACAATTGGTTTATAAAATGCACCAAGTTGCTCAGATTGTATCTTTTTATTCTTTCTTAAAATGGATGCAAACAGTACATAACCTGCTAATTCAAACACCTACTTGATCAAGAGCAACAGTGAGAAGAAATTAATTCAAAGTACTTTTCTTTTCTCTAACAGTCTGGAAGACCAAATAAACATACAACAGGTACACACGCACGCACTCATCATCAGCCCCACTGCAGCCCGCTAACTTTAAAAGCTTTTCAAACAGCTCCTTAAAATAAACAGAGCCAACATATGCAGCTAAAATATGACCTGAGAAAACTCATCACCTCCTAAGTGTCTGAACGTCAGTGAGACTGTTAAACAGCAGGAGAACATATGAGCTTCTAAATGCACAAACAGACACAGACACATACAGGCAGACACACAAAAGTCGCTGTGAGATAAGCACATGCAGATAAGCATGATAATTTGTGAACAGCAAAGACTGCGTGTGATGCATAATTTGATTCAAATAAAGATATTTAAGTGCTTTCTTGTGACATGTGGCAGATTAGACCAGCACCAGCATGAAAAGAGTGATCAAGGACCGAGCTTTATCTCTGGTGGAGGAACTAGCTCTCTTCTTCAGACAACAATGGAGCATCCAACAAGCGAACAGATATGTTTTCATGCTCACTCTACACGCGGACGTGCAGAGAGACGTCAGTGCCATGCGTAAAATCGAGCAGGCACCCACAGAGACAGTGGTGGCTTCACAGATTGTGAGATCTTGACTCCCCCCACCATCCTCCGTGTCTGTAGTTGAATGAGACAGTGAGGTGATAGAGGAAACCATCCACCCCCACACATCAACCCCCTGATCCCCTGGGCTCTGGGGCCACAGCGCCAACCCAGCGGCCAGTACGACTGGCCAAACAGTGCATCAAAAACACGCACACACTCATGACATCAGCTCCCTGGTCTCCGTTAGCCAGACAGCGTCACACACTCTGACACTTACACACAGGCTTACACACTTTGACATTTCCTTGTCAAAAGAACCAGTGTGCGCTCTCCCTCCCACCACCATCATCACAATCAACGCTCCTTTGTAGAGGGATAGAGAAGAGGACAAGGGCACTGGGAGAGGAGAAGACAAGGACTAGAGGGAGGTTTAGAGAGGGATGGCTAAATTCTCAAAAGCTACTGGAAAATACGAGGGCAGGAAAAGGAAAAAAAAAAACCCAAGCAGAAGACAGCGAGAATCACAAGGGTAAAAAAATGCAGCCAAGCGAGAAAGGGACTGGGATAAAGAGACGACAGATAGATAAATAAGGAGAGGAGACGGGGAGATGACAGTGAGACAGTCTGACCACATACACATAAACACATAACACTCATCAGTTCCACTCTTCCAGCTCTGAATGGCCCCTGGCAATGCAAGAGCCTCCAGAGCCGCGGCACAGCTCATCACAAAATTCACTATCTCGTCTGATCTGCTTTAATCACCAAGCAACTCGCACGCAGACAAACAACCGGCACACAAACACAGCTCGACACAACACATATTCTCCCTGGAAGCCAGTGAATGCACGGCCAGAGAGCCAGTCCTGACAGAACCACATTAATCACAGTGTACTCTCACTCGCTCACAGTTACACTTCAGCCAAGTCACTCCTCGCTGGGCGCTCCCAGCCTGTCACTCCCTCCCCAAACAACTAAAGAACCAGGGGAGCGCTCCAAACAATGATGTTACTCTCGAGTCTGCGGCCTAATGAAAAGCAAATCAATTCTGCTCAATCCAACAACACTCTTCCAACCCCAAAACACACTCGGTTTCTGCCACTGCTCATTCAGCTGGGCGACATTTTGAAACTGAAAACGAAAATGATGAAAATAAGCAAACAAGCCTCAGTGGGTTTGATTCATGCAAATGCTTCAAGTAATAAAACGACCAACGATCGTTATTGCTCTGTGCCATCAGTCTATTCTGGAATCGATGCGCCTTTCATATAAACAGCTGACCTCTTTTTCAAAGCAGAGATTTTTGCTTTACGTCAAAAAGCACGTGGCATGTGTGTGCGCGAAACCGAGCGTCTGATAATTTGATTGAATTATGCTTAACTGGCACCAAAGGAGAGGCTGGGAGGGTCAGACAAACAAGTCTGAGGATGACAGTTAAAGAAACAGAAGGAGAGACTGCGTCTTTGTGCGTTTGTGTGCGTACGTGCATGTGTGTACGTGCTGTGGTTCTTACCTATTCTCCAGTGTGCACCAACCACAATGGGCGTCACCTGCTCCCAAACAGTCACTGCAGCTCTTCCACTGATCACAATCTGCCACTTTTACTCTCAGCATCTGCACATCAATGCACAGAAGCAAACATGAGCACACAATCATCTTCAAGGGCGGCCAAAAAGTGGAAAACAAGTGATTTTGTTACCAAGATGCTGACGGCTGTTAAGAGAACTTAAGAATGATCCTCCTCAAGAATTTTGATAATCTGCTACAGTGTAAGAGTATCACTGCAATTTCGAGTCTCTAGGATTTAAACTACCACCCAGACGAAATGAATATAATATAATAAGCCCACAATGAAAACCAGCTTACAGGCTCACACATAACTTTTGCATGTCATCATTCAACACTTATTGACAGCAGAAAGAAATGAATAAATGTCATGAAATTTTTCAGTAAACACATCATGACATCTAAAGTGTTTATTAATGTATAATAACTGCAGACAGTCTTTCCTGAATAACTCCTACAAAGACATTTGATCTTGTCGTTTTCCAAATGCAGATATATTTCACCGACATCCGCTTACAATGAAGCAGATAAAAAAATCTCAGATAATGTAATTACACATTTGTAAACTCCTACGTGCAGTGTACATCTCCTTAAGTTTCTTAAGGCTAACAACCACCTTTTTTTCTTCTTTTTTTGCTGCTTTGTCTATTTGCAGTGCAAACAAATACGAATACGCTGTAGGTAAACACAGATAGGCAGTTTGAACCTAGGAAGTGAATGCCGGTCTCAGAATGTAAATCAGTTTAAAGGTTACAGCTAAAATAAATGCCAGCCAATAATAGTGCCAAATTTAATTTAAATCTTAACAATGTCACGGCAAATGTTACCTAAAAAATGTCATGCAGCAGTTTTGTCAGAGTCTAAAAAGGAGCTGTAGCATATTTTCTGTGTGCACGTTAAACTTTGTTTCTGTGACAGGAAGCACAGAGATTTAATAGCAGCACAGACAGCTAACAAACTGATGCACTGTCACTGTGCAGAAACCATAAAGGCCAGAGGTGCAGCCATATCCCGCCCTAAGCCCAACTGTTATCAAACAAATTGGCTTTGAAATGCAGGTCTGAAAGCTTAATGTAGGTCTGCATGCATGTCTGCCTTAACCACAAATATGGTAGTGTTCTGTTAAGTGAACTTAAGGAGGATGTACATGACGTGACATTCATGAGGTCTCATTGTGGTTATCATGGTCGCGCTACGTGCTGATATGCCAGCGGGTATAACCTTACATGATGAGAGGTCATGACATAAAGAAAGTTGCTGTCGTTGGGATCGAAGGTCATGATGTGGTGTACTGCTTCGTTGGCTCGCAGCTTCAGCATCCACTGATTGGCTGTGGTCATGTTCGGTAGCAGAGTCAGCTGTGAAAAAGAGAGACGCACATGTTGAATTGCAGAGTTGGAACCACATGCAAAGTGGTGCAATTAAAAAAAAGAAAAAAAAAGACGTTGAGCGCCAATTTCTTGGTTCACATTCATGCAGAAGAGTTTCTCATATGTTCACAACTGCTCAGTGCAACCACATTACTTTTCAGTTGATTGAGCAGATCGAGTCATTTGCTCAGCAATACCACAGAAGAAGCAGGTTTTTTCCCACGTCTGTGTTTGGCAAGAGATACACAAACAAAACTTTTACATCGTGATCACTCCTTGGAGACTACGCCCACCTGTAGCAAGCACCGAGATGTACAGACAACCTTGATTGTGTGATTTTTATTGCACCATATTTTTGGTGTCTTATTGTTTGTGTAATGTCAGACGATTTGGCAGTCTACAATTTTTGTCTGCCAGCGGTCCAACTGAAAATATGAAATCTAAATCAGCAGCTGGTGCAGTAAAATAAGCAGCCACAATGACTGTCTATTGTTAGATGGTAAGTTTACTGTGGTAAAAAGGGAGGACACTGGAACTCTGGACTTTTTGTGTGGTGATTCGTATCTTTAAAATGTGTTTCCAGAAGCCATACTTGTATACAATATCAAATAATATAATATGTAAATGTAAAATAATGTTTATATGGGAAACTGTGACGCTCACAGGACACAGATATTAACCGTAACTGACACCCATGTTCATTTCTGTGTGCAGATAAATTCAACACAGATGAACAGTCAGTGAGCAGCGCTGGAGGTGAAGAGTGACATGAAGGCACTACATGCAATTAAACTAGTTTAAGTTCAGGAATCATAGCTTGCTGGTAGTTCAGCTACATTCATTGGTGTATAGTCTTTCAAAAACACTATACAGCGGTAAAACTTTGGACCGCTGCTTCTCCACAATAATCAAACCCTTTTGGCCAGTCAAATGATCCAAAGTGGTTTACAGCGTAAATAAATTCTGCCTGGATGGATGGTTGTTTTTTAAGGCAAGTATTAAGTTGACCTACAGCTTCCTGGAATACTTGGCTATGACATTTTATGTTTTGAATATAAGTTTGTAAAACTAACCTTCACTATACTATACATAATCAAAGATCCTGCCAGACTCAGTGCCCCACCTGGATTTTGGTTTCTGCTACAAAAACCTTTTTTGTCATGTTTGACCTGTGAATAAGTGGACAGTTTTTACTCTACCCTTACTTATCCTGAACTTATCCTTTTATACTTTTAGTAATAAAATGTGGTATCACATGCCCAGTGCCAGTTTCTTTCTTATAATGTAGTCTGAGCTAATTGGCCAAATTAGATTTTTTCCTAAGGTAGATTTAGTGTAGTTCAACTTCTTCATGCTTTTAAGGTAGCTCCCCCAATACGACCAGTGAGTCACGTAAGGGAATAAACCTGGGACAGTTTGTTTAAACCTACAATGAATGGATGAATGAACAAGGGTACATTGTATTTGAGTGGGATTGGAAGTTGAGACACGGCAGGGCCAAAACACAGTGACATAGTGGATGAGGAAGTGGGTGAGTGGGAGGATGAGATTCAGATTGGCTACATCTGGGTCAGGACTAAATGAGAGACCCATATAGCAGGCTATAATATTTAATCAGAACTGAATTAAGTATCGAACTGTGCCTCAAAATCTTTTCACCCATGACTAGAATGGGCATAGTGAAGCCCGCTGCAGTAATAAGAAGAAAGTACACCTTCTATTATTTCTAAGGTTTTTATATTGGGACAAAAAAAATATCCTGTCCTTGGTAGCTTAAAAAAAAATCTTACCTTACCTCAGGTGTAAAATAACAAACAGATTCTGTGGCTTTATTATTTATTTAAAAAACGAAACGAAAAGTTGCAGAGTGTGAAAATGAAGCACACCCCACGATTCTGTAGCTTGTAGACAAACGTTTAGGAGGTATAACTGAAAAAAAATTGTTTCTGTATGACTTTATCGGGCTGTCACATCATTGTGGAGGAATCTGACCCATTTTTCTTTTGCTCATATACACACAGCTTTTTTGAGGTCCCCCCACAGTGTTTCAGTCAAGCTGAGATCTGCACTTTTTCTTGCCCATTGCAACATCTTGATTCTTTTCTTTTTTACCATTCTGTTGTACATCTTATCTATTGTTCTGATTTTATCTGTTTTGATTTTATATACTGTTTTGTTTGTTTGTTAATTAGTTTGTTTGTTTGCTTGTTGTAATCAATTTTAAATCATGCTTTTTATTTGTTTTTGTTTCTAATGTCTCTGTAAAGCACTTTGAATCACCTTGTTGTTGAATTGTGCTATACAAATAAACTTGCCTTGCCTTGCCTTGCCTTACATTTGCTGTCATGTTAGGGATCACTGTCCTGTTGCATGAACCAGTTTGGGCCAAGCTCTGGCTGTTGGACAGATGGCCTCACATTTAACTCCAGAATATTTTGATATAAAAAGGAGTTCATGGTTTACTCAAGATGCCCAAGTCCTGTGGTTGCAAAACACATCATCACCGCCACAACTGGTATGAGGTGTTTGTGCTGATATGCTGTTTAGGTTTCTCCAAACATGGCACTGTTCATTATGGCCAAACATGTCCATTCTGGTCCCCAAAGGGCATTGTTCAGCAAGTCTTGTTGTTTGTTCAGATGTAATTTTTCAATACTAAACTGCCATGTTTTTTTTTTAGAGAGAGAATAGCCTTCTCTAGGCAATCCTTCCAAATAAGTCATACTTGTTCAGTGTTTTTCTAACTGTACCATCAAGAATTTTAACATATTAACGTATAGACCTGCAGATCTGAGATGTAGCATTTGAGTTCTTTTTTGCTACCTCTCTTAGCATTGAATGGGTAACATCCACTCCTGACAAGATTGGCAACTGTCTTGTGAATAATTGTTCTCACTCTAGACTGGATGGACTTGAACCAGTGGATTTCACATGAGCTTAGAACCTGTCCCAGATAGCTGGGCACATTGCTGATGTCTTTCCTCCTTGGCATTATGTTAACACACACCTGAGATCCCAGTTCTGAGATCCCTTCCCAGACGCCTTAACGCCCACTCACATCCTGGGCCATCTGACCTCAGGAATTCGCATGATAAGGTGGGGCCAGGTTTCACAATGAACTCACCCGAAACTCTGGCTGATTGGGACCCACGCCCAGTTTCCCACCTTGGCTCAGGCGATTAGAGGATCATCAGGGGGTCCTTTTGTCCCTCTGTGGGGGTTTACTCCGACTAGGTTTATATCTGGGACTCTCCACCATTTGACCTTAGAACTGAAGAAGCTTCTCGGATGAGAGGTGAAACGTCTTCAAGCAACTTAAAGAAGTCCAGACGCTTTTCTTTGCAAGCTCCTTTGACAAGCTCCTTTTTTTTTTTTGCCACGACTGTATCTCAATTACTCAGTAGGAGGTTATATGAGGGGTGATTGGACTGGTGCTTGGGTGCTTAGAATGCTGTAGCTGTTACTGTGCTGCATATGTTATCAAGAAAAAATATCCAGACAAAGATTAAATTAATTTTTGTCTGAGCTGCCTCACTCCTTCCCTTTTAAAAGGCCAACATGACAGATTAAATTCTTTTGTCTGGATACTTTCCCTCCCCCAAAGCTAACGTGGATACACAAGAGAGTAACCAAAACTCTCAGTCTTAATTAAATTCATGCATGTATGTATAAGCAATGACTGCCAGATTTAGTAAAGTGATTTTAGTTCCTGCCTTTTACTTCAAATATTTTTCATGTTTCCACCTTCACAAATACATTTCAGGTGCTCTTTGTTCAAGCAGTGTGCCTAATCTCATTCCACTGAGCAGTGATTTATCTGCACACTGACCGTCCTGCAGGTCAAGATCATAAAGCACGTACGCACAAACATATGCACACACAGACACACACACACACACACAAAGCTGTGCAGAAAAACAAACTGTGCTGAGTGAGACTTCCTGTCACGCCGACAGTGAAAACTCTTATTTCTGCGATTTGTCGGGCCTCCCTTCAATGGAGAGATCCTGGCATCCTGAGGAAGTGGCAAACTGATCAGCATCTGGTGACAAGCACGGGTTGTATCACTTCTCCATCCACTGAACACAACAAAACACTGTCATGTGCACAGGAGCACACATTTATATAGGACAAAACCATTACCACCCACTTAGACGTGCTGGTTAATGTTAAACCAGCGCAGACAGGAGCTAAGTAAACCATTGGCTTAACCTGTGATGAAAGGCATTATCTCAACCTGCAAGAATCACTGTCAGGTTTTTTTTTATAACACCACCTACCCATCTGCTCGCACAAGCTCGCCTGCTTTTTAGTGATAGTAAGCAGCTGTGCTATGTCCTCACCTCACACCCCAGTGACTACAAACACATAAGCAGAGTGACACAGCGAGGAGTAAGTAAACAGCAGCCCACACACCTGGACAGGGAGCACAATAGGTGCAGAGAGGAGGAGACGTGAAGAGAGCTGTGGCACAGTGAGCCACCAGGTCAGCCAACAAAACACCTGCTGTACTGGCAGGTCGCTCTGACTCTATTCTCCGTCTATCTTCATGCAGATGAAAGACCCTATTCAACCAAGAAGTGCTCAGCTGCTGTGCACTCATTCTTTCTCTCTCTCTGTCTCTGTCTGTGCACGTGTGTGTCTCTCTGTGTGTGTTTGAATGTGTACCTGGGTGTAAAGGAGAGAGAATAAAGATTGATAGAGGTGGGGCAGGAGCGACAGAAAGAAGAAAGAGAAAGAGATAAAGTCTGTTTGTTTGGAAAATGAATCAAAGGGCCTTTTATATTTGAGATGGAGTAAAAGAGGAGCTGAGAAAGAGGGGATGGCGAAGCGATGAACTGAGAAGTGGAGGGGTGGACCCACTGAGGGAGTAAAATTGGAGCGAGAGGGAGCGAGATAAAAAAGCGGACACTGCGAGAAGCAGAAAATGGAAGTCAGCTGTAATGGGGAGGGAGAGACTTCATTAAAAAATGCATGTAATTACAAATTACTTCACTGAGGGCTCTCTCAAAGACAGTAAAAGAGGCCTAACTTAATCTCAACCACTGTTCCCCTGTGTTTAGTCTGAGCCAAACTCACAGTCAGAATCACATTACACACACTAACAGCACCATTAACCTCTGTAACAGCTCTATCCTGAGGGCACACACACTCACAGACACTACCACACACACACACACACACACACACACACACACACACACACACACACACACACACACACACACACACACACACACAGAGATACATAGGCAAACAGTGAAAGACATAAAGATAAAAGCACAAAGCATGTTGTTTCCCAAGGTCACCAAAATACTGCACACCCTATACAACAAGGTCGACACACACACGTAACACGTAATCACAGGGTATGCATTCATCTGAGTAAACACATGGAATCACTATACCAGTCACATTGGCTTGCAGACAAAGTCAAACACCTAAAAACACAGTCAGACCTGCAATCTAGCAAACAGACGTACACAAACACGCTCATACACACCGCTGCTTACACCATGCCAACCAACGCGGCGCATCCGCTATAAACCATCCAAAAACCAATTACTGCGTGCTCAGCTGGGGCTAAAGCAGTGCCTTCATCTGGGGAGGAAAACAAGGAGTTCTTTTAGCAGGTCTAAACAAAACACCCGACAGCAGAATGGGTTTAATGTTGTGAAAGGTACTAGGCTAATGCAAAACCATAGGGTCAGAAAGCTTTCAGAGTCAGCTTGTGTTGTTTCCACAGACAGCTGAAGTGCAGCTAGTTGCATATGCAGGCAGATCCGCTGCTTAGGAAGCTCAGTCAGGGGTGACGAGGAATGTGGCTGAGACAAAATTAAGGAATGCTGGTAATTGGGCAGGAAAGGTTTTCACAAGCTGGACCTTCTGCAGATGTTTAATAGCTCAGACTGCACACCAACACATGTCGCAAATGAGTCATAAGCCGTCAACCGCTGTTAGACAGCTTTACTGTGATCTCACAGACAATAGTTTAAGAGACATTAAAACTCATGATTAGGACTACATAAGGTTCGGGATGGTTCATGGATCAGCGGAATGAGGGGGTTGGTTGGGTGGTGACAATGCAGGGAAAATCTACAAGTTAAAAGGAGGCATTTCTGCTTTCCCTGTGGTGGCTCGAAGTGTTTCATCACACACATAGGTTTGGTTTATTGTAAGAATCGGCAGCCACATCACAGCAGCACTACATACCTTGTAATGTTAGAGTTTTTCCAAGCTTCGGGGCTCAACTACATTAAAAATAATAACTCCATTCAGCGGTTGAGGTTAAGCTTGTTTAGAAAGTTCTCAATCACAAGGACTGAGAGTGTATGCACGCTCATGTGCGTGTGAGACTCACCTTACGAAGTCGTCCATTACTGGTTCCCAGAAAAACCACGGTGTGGTTTTGCACGTTGTCCACAGAGACTGAACTGAGACCCGGGTATTCAAGCAGAGGAATGGCCCTAAGGGGTCTTTGTAATGCCAGTGGGTGCTGCAGGTGGGCTGCACCGCAGTCCAGCTGCTCGGGCTGCAACTAGAATACAAACAGAGTGAGAGAGAAAGATCAATTCTCATCAGCTTTCATATGGAAGCATGACATGAAGATTAGAAGAAGGAGAGAGCTGGGCACAAAAGGAGGCGTGTGGAAAGCAAGGGCTGATAGAAGCTATCACACTGGCGTTGCTCATTCTGCTAAATCACTTTTCAGACATCTCAGTGAATACTTGAAATGGGCTTATAAGGGTCTTCAACACTCATAAGACTTTGCTTTTGTCAAATCCTCAGTGGGCAATGATAAAACATTAGTGCTGCGCTTGGATGAGCACCAGGATCTATTGGGAATTCTCTGAATATTTTAGAGCACACAAGAAAAAAAAAAAGAAATTAAGCACACTGGATATTTGTAGAGTCTTTTCCCACGGGCCCTTCTGCTCGAGGCATCGTCTCTCTTATCATAAATTGTGTCTGGCTTTCCCTCAGTGTTGGCCTTCAAACTGTCGACTACAAAAAAGATCACATTTCAACGGCCACGGCTATGTAAATGAGGAAAGACTAACTTTAGTCTATGAGTGGTAAGTGGGTTGTACTGCAGCAGGAGAAAAAACAAAGGGCACAAATCACTTTGAACTAAGCAGTTGTCCATCTCAAAAAGGGTTTGTGGGCGACCGGAGATGGTATTCAGAAAAACTGGTCACGAGAGGAGTGGCCCCGGGGCCACGGCAAACAAGGCAGTGCCAGCAAGGAGGGCAACTTTCTGACCTGACAGCACAGTGGTGGCGAGACAGTCTCCTTTGACCTCAACTCTGTCAGTCAAAACCACCACAATGAAAATCTGGAATTTCTCTGCATTCCTATGAAACTGTGGAAAGCTTTCAATGCTTGTTATTGTTAGGCACCTTGAACCAGACAGCGCTTTTGCAATGCTAAAGTTTCCTTGAGGACACACGTATGAGTAGGAAGATTGTAATAAAATACACGTGATAATATTTGATCACGTGCTTGGAACAGAGGAGCTATTTATCGGTCAAACATTGGGCTAAATTTAGAGTTGAACTTCAGTCAGAAGCACACACTAAATAAAAATGTCTGGGGTTTTACTGGAAAACATAGTAAACTACTGACCCCTTACAATCCTCACATTTGGTAAAAGGGGAGAGTTGCTGGATATGAGATTAGTCTCACCCTTCCCACAACCCTCAGTGTGGCTCTAGAGGGTCTTTCCAGCTATCACCTCTACTCCTAACATGGGAGATCCTTTCTTTGAGTCAACAGTTTGAGGGTTAAAGAGGATAATTGTTCGTAAGCATAAATGGAAACTGTCAGAGAGTAGCAGCAGACGTGAGGGAGTAAATCTTATTGCAGCCTGAACAACTGTAATGGCCAAGAGGATTCATAAATCTCAAGCAGGTTTATTGGACGAGCACGTTTTGGCACCCAGTATAACGAAGAGAAAAGAAATAAAAACATATGAAATAATGATGCAGAAAATATCTCAGTGACGCTGACTTATTTTTTTTCTCACTTTCATGTCAAGAAATGGATAAACTGATCTGTAAAATAAGTTTCGTTTTCAGCAAAGCTTATGCTAAGTTTTAGAGTGCGTTTTATTTGACAGAATGTATATATTTCATTAACATGGCAGCTTAAAATCAGATCAAAATAATTACATAAATTAAGTATTTTTATATTGCCTAATTAAATGTGTACAAAGCCCTTACCACAAGGTTTCCCTTCTGGATGCAGGCTGAACCGGAGCCCTGTATCACACTGTCCAGCACCTGAACGTCGCTGCTGGGAGAGTTTGAGCAGTTCCTGCGGCCTTGCCGTATCTCCTCCTCGATGTCTCCAAACTTGAAAGCGCAAAGTGCAGACTTTCTGTCTCCCTTAGAAAACACTCCAAACAAGTATGGCTCGGGGCTTTTCCCATCACCTGCGTGGATCTCCGTGGGGTACACGGACAACACCCGGTTGTAAAAGTTCCCGTTAAATCCACACTGTAAAGGCATCTGGATGTAGGATTCAGTGAGCTTCCTGCTCTCTGGCCCGGTGGATTTTCGGGGGTTCTCGGTGTCCAGGCATATCCTCGCGAGGATGCTGTTGGGCTGGCTCTCCTTGTGGCCCATTTTCGCATCATTATTGAAGGCAATATATGAGTAAGTCTTCTGGATGAACGCGTGTACGAAGCTTAGTTTATTTTTGGTTTTAACCTCTTGTTTGATCTTGAATACATTATCCTCGGAAGGGTTAATGTCATAGGTGAAAAGTCTGGATAAATCCTTGATGTTCAAGGAGCGGATGGCGATCTCCGGGGTGTTTTCAAAACGCAGATCTTCTTTGCTGTGGTTTTTGGGGAAAAACTGAGTTCCAGCCCCTGTGTATGTCGCCCCAACCAGAAGCCGGGTGTTTCCCCCGTGGCTTTTGAAGATGAGCCCCACGGTGGATGCGTTCGGGTGATTGGCAGCGATGTTCAGCATGCTGGGGAAAACAGTCTTCTCACCCTGGGGTGGGAACTCCACCGCTATTTCTGAAATATTATCCATTTTTCTGAGCTCACAGAAGCCTTGATACACAGATCCGCACGCAACCACGATCCCTTGCTCCCGGTCCAGTTTCAGGAGCTTGTTGTAATTGTCAGTGAGGGATTTGGGATGCTCGCAGGGAGCCTGGGGAAGCTGTGGCGCATGGCACAACAGGTTGTCCTCCACCGGTCCAGTCCTCTTCTCCACTTCAGCTGTCAAGGTCCCATTGAGCTGGTAAATTGTGTTAACGGTAGCCAGGTAGACTTTTCTGGACACTGGATCCACCACGAAGTTATTGGTCTGATTTGGAGACGCGAAAGCCTGTTGGATGTGCAGCGCGCTGGCACTCCGGCGCGTCTCCAAAGCCAGGACGCCGAGAAGCAGGACGGCTATCTCTATCGAAGGAGGCATTTTTCCTTCTGACCGGCTTCCGCGTGTTCTGTGCCGAGGGGTGCATTGAGCAAAGACAAAAATGTGTGTTTGTTCCTACTGCGACAACCCGAGAGGAAAGACTGTTTCCTGCTCAACGCCTAAACCCACAGTGACGCGATAAGCGAGTCGTGCTTCCTTTTCAGGCTGCCTCCTCTGTCCCTCTCTGCCTATCGTGCAGCTCAGCAGTCACTCTCCTGGGGCACACTGAGCCACACCGCCTGGGTGATATTTTAATCATCTTGACAGAATAGACAACAGGGAATAAATAGTTCCAACTGATTTGGTGTTGTGCATTTTCTGGACATCGCCGCACAAAGGACAAACTTATTTTGAGTCAGGTTTCAGCGCTGGTTATTTAAAAATATATACGTATATTTATTTATAAGCAAAGCATTCTTCGATTACAAATATTAGTAAAGATGGACTTTGCTGCGAGCATGGGGCGTTAACTCATTAACCCTGAAAAATGGCACTGCCTCCCTCTTAATGGAACGTCCCATCAAAGCGCTCTGTCAGCCCAGTCAGCTGTGATTGATCTTCGTTCGTTGATTAAATCCTGATTCCTTTCAATCACTCAGGTACAATAACTACTATTTAAGACATAATGTGAAGTCGTGCCATATGAAGTCATAATGATCATCTTCCTTTCAAGGTGAGCCACTTGATGAGTCTCCACCCGTGCGTGGTTCCGCTCATCTTGGGGTTAATGGCGGGTCACAAGCCCACCTCCTGTGCTTCCCGGTCCCTCGGCTCTCAGATTAGTTCTGCAGATCCGGAGGGTTTCGTTTTGGGCACATACGGCACGGTAAAGACCGTGAAAGTGCTACCAGATGGGCACATCAGCACACCTTTCCGGTTTTTGACATTCACATCTATCCAACACTGCTTTTGCACGTTTTACCTCATAAATATTCAAGCACAACACATGTGCCCCCACTCAAAAATGCACGAATATGGTTAGCATCCCCCCCCCCCTTTTTTTTTTTTGCTTTCTCGACGGAGTGTGCATATGCTCACATCTCTGAATAGAAATGAATGACTCCTAGTCGAGGAAAGACAACAAGTGAGTCAGACGCTGCATAAATCAGTTTGCAGGGGAGCCCGAGAAAAGTGTTATCTCTGAATACATGAAATAATTAAAGTTGATGCTAAATCGCGAGCAATCGCTTGTGCCTATTTACTGCGTACTCCTCTGGGGGACAAACCCACTCTCTCTCCACACCCTCCCACCCCAACCCCCAATCTCTACTTGCAGCTTTCAGTTGGGTAGATAAGTGCGCTCCGTGTTTACCTTGGCGCACAGCCATGCGCATCAAATCTGGCAGTGTAGAAAAGGAGCAAAGTGCTCCGATAAAGTGCAATATAATGACCCCCCAAGTGCAGAGCACAATGAATGAGCCAGTGTCGACACAGTGCGCGTGCATGTAAGTGCAGACTTTCGTCAGGGAGTAGGGAGCCAGCGGCTACAAGGAGGTCTGGCAGGGATGCAGGGACAAGGCGCAGTCTGGGGCAGAACTGTCAGCATCAAATATCCATAGTGAGGCGTGACCGCTGCGGTTTGGTGCAGCTCAATCAAGAAAACGACACTGAACCGAATTATGCTCCATGTGTGGGTGCATTACAGTGATATAAAGTGGGGGTACACCCGATCTCTCGTTTGTAATAAAAACAATATCTGTTGCTGCACAAGCTAACTTTTGGCATTTAAGACCCCCTCCTCAGAACCTGTTTCCTTCCTGATAAGGAGTCACACCTCTTCTCCCCACCCTCAGAGCACACCATTCACACAAACTGAACACGGCTTTCATACTGAAGGAACGTCAAGGCTTTTCCAGGTAAACGAGCTCCATCTAGCGGTCAGGAAAAGCATATGCAAGATGACTTTAAAAGCACACTTTCCACTACAACACTGCGAAGAAGCATCAGACACACAAGAAAATAAATAAACAAAAAGGAAACATGTCTTTTGAAGAAATACGGAATGTGCATAAATTAGTCAGGAATGCACTTTATTTATTCCACACTTAGAAAAGGACATCAGAAGGCACTGAAGTGGTTTAGCACACAACCCAAGATCAGAGGTGCTGCTGCAAGGACAAACTAAAGTCAAAGGTCAGCTCACTCCCAACTTGTCTATTGTACCTTTGATTACACATCACTGACAGATCAATAAATCTGCCTACTGCGGTTCAACTTGAGAGGAAACAAGTTTACTCACATTTTGACAAAAATGCACTGAATTTCCTTGGTTTTTTTTTTAATTTCCTGTAGAAAAGCATGTCAGCAGTTTCAACCTGCATCAGCGCTTCACTTCTCAGAGAGTGTCAAGCTTTGTAGTCTCTATCAAAGGCCTGACCTACATGCTGTCTATCAGTGTGCTAAAGTGCAGCTGTACAGTTCAAATGATCACAATGTCTGTTAGGAAATCAGCTTCTTGGCATTAAATACAGTGCAGACTAGTTAACGTGCTAGGTCATCTTGTAGTGTCCTTGACTAGATTAGAAAGTGAGAGTAAAAGAGAGGCCGAATGCCAAGCTCTACTCATGGAAGCAAAATGTGTAGAAACACACTACTGAGCATCTGGAGGCAAGGTCATGTTCAGATTGCGAATTACTTTCCCCCTTACAAAAGTTGCATCTGGCAAGACATTCATGACATATATGGAAAGAAGCCACAGCTGCTTGGACCTTTTGGGTGCTTAGGCATCCCTGGGCAAACTTCAGTTTGGCACTGGGTGATAACACCTTGACATAGCGATACAGTGGTACATTTAAAAAAAAAAAAAAAGAAAGAAAAGATAACACGCAGGGAAACTGTGTCAGTAGTATAAAGTCACATACAGGCAATGTGCATTTGACTGGCATGGCAGTGGAGATGACTTGCACTGTAGATTTGAAGCAGCAGTATTCATGATGGTTCTGAGACAGAACTGGAAAAGCACCAGTGGTCTCCCCTTCTTTCTTAACTTGATCACATCATAATGGTGGGGTGGGAGGCCAATTGTCCTGGCAACCTAATTTTACTTGGACAACAGCCCTTTATCATCGCTTTTAAAAGTAAATCTGCTTTGGAAGTAATTTTCTTCATGACAACGTGCAGCACTGTATACAAGTTACAAATATGGCAGATGCTAGACAGCAGCCAGATGTTCTCTGTAGTATTCATGTGCTGTTTTTATGGTGGGCACACCATCTCAGCTTCCCCCTCTAGTCTTTGTGCCATTCATTATCTTCCCTATTTTCAATTCTTTAACTTTAAAAAAGTAAAAGCGATCTTTGCCATTAGAAATTGTACGTCTGCATGACACTCATTCCTTCAAAATGTTCTATCTGAACAAATTTCATCACAGCAAGAAAGGCGAAACTTCCAGGAAGGTTTTTCAGCCATGGTTCAAAACTACTAATCACAGCTAAGTAAGAGTTCTCTTCCTAAAGGCAATCAACCACATTCTCACATTTGCATGTCTCTACAATTAGACTGGGCCTTTGTGGCAGCTCTCCAGCCCAGTTTCCTGACTAAACTCCCCTTTGTGTAGAGTGAGAGGAGTGTAATGCTACATGGTACTGAATAAAATAACATTGAAAATAAAATAATATTATTAGAAATAACATTATAATTGATTAAACTCTAAGGGTAAAAACAGTACAATACTGCATTCTGTGAGGGATAACAACACAAAAGTTCGTTTTAAAAATGTAAACAGTCTTGTCCTTCCTAAATGTGAATGTTCTCTTCTTCACTCTTCTTCACTCTTCTTGCTCTTTATCCAGGCCGCTTCCAAATGTGCTCAGCTGAACCGACTGCAGACTGCAGCTACAGTTACATTTCTTGTTGTCACCAAAGCAACATGTGCTGAATGTAATCTGGTCATCCCGGGGGCTGCAGCGCACGGTGCGTATACCCCGAGAGAGCGTCCCAGTTTCTCCACAAGAAGGCCAGCAGGAGGATGAGGAGGAGGGTGGAGAGCGAGCGTGAGCGCGTCTTCATCAAAGGGACCACACAGTTGGCTACAGTTGAAACAAAGACCAGAAGGACAGCCATTAGGGCCAGCAGCACATTGATAAGTTTTCCCAGGAGGGTCCGGGCTGTGGCATTTTCCAACCCCTCCAACTGGACGACCTGCTGTTGCTGCTGCTGCAGCTCCATCTTAGAGATCCTGGTTTGACAGGCCTCCAAAGCCTCCTGTAGAGGACGACGAGAGGAAATCCATTTAGCTTAGTCACCAGTTTCATAAACATAAACTAATCCAAAGCACAATAGCAAGACACTGATCGTTTTACTGTGATTTAAAGTCAGATATGATTTTGCCTTTCCTTTGTTCTCATGTGTGGAAAAACACTGAACAAAAACATAAAAACTTCTCACTTGCCTGAGTGCAGCCTTTTATACTTTTGATTATTTTAAATAGACTCATGTGATCCACATTAGACCAGTGTGAAGTGTTCTTAATCATGTTTGTTTGTAACTGTAATTGATAAGTTATCCAAAAACACTTAAATATCCTGCACATTATCGATACATGTTACCCATCAGAGATTTTCAGACATTTCCTTCATTTAACTATATCTGCTTTTTCAGTAATCCTATTTTATTAGCTTAGCTTTATTGTACTTATATTGCTTATGCAATTTTACTTAATGATATTTTGTTGTTTTTTTTAGTTATTTGATCTAGATTTTAATCTAGTTTTATTGCTTTTATTACAGCATTTATTACATCCTGTTACTGAAATTTCAGTCATCTGTGAAGCACCTCAGGCTCCTGTTTCAATGAAAGGTGTTTTATAAATAAAGTAACTGCTGGTTCTGTTAGAGTTTGAAGTAGCTGTTGACAGTACATTTCATGGCTCTCTACCACCCCCTGCTGTGTAGGAAGGGAATGCTGTAATGAGCAATATGAGGCGTGAAAAAAGTTTTATGCAGGGACAAAACACACACACCTTAGCCTTTATGGACAAGAGGAAAGGATGCAAGTAATGTGAGACATTTTCAAGGGATAGTTAATGTTTTGAACCCCCCCCCCCCCCAAAACAAAGCTGATGGACAGACCAGGGCCTTGAACTCATCTCCTTGTGTACAGAGTCAACACAGACATTTAGATAAGGCAGTTAACTGATGGAGGGTTTGTGCACGA